GATTTAAATTTGTTCAAATCATGACCCTCTGGGGTAAGGTGGCGCCACGATGTACGATCAAACTTTTGCATTGGAATTTATAGGAAAAAGTTTTGAAAAAAACTTCTTCTCAAGAACAGCAAAGTCATGATTAGTCATATTAATGTGGAAGTATCCACAGGTAGTGTTGATTCAAATTTGTTCATGACCATCGGGGCTAGGGTAGAGTCATAATAGGAAATAGGAGATCTGCTGATGAAGAACAGAAAAGCCATGGTAACTCAGGTGAGCGTTGTGGCCCTTGGGTATGTTGTTCTTAATTTAATACTCCAAAGTGACTTGGTCATTTGGCCATTTGGGATATCAAGGCAGACTTGAACCACTTCTGCATCATACCCTTCTGCTGCCTGGGTTCAAGTTCTACTGCTATACATCACTGTTAATTCATCATATAAATACATTTTCACACTACTTGCAAGAAAATAGCATGAAAAGTGAAAAGGCCAACGAAATGTTTTAACGTCATTCTTACATTGCTAATAACATTATGTCGCAGACTCGAGTTTCCTTAAACGCTCCGCCCAATGAGCATTTTGATTGGTTAAAAATATTAACGAATATTAATAATGGAGTAGTCCCAGCGAGTAGCTCTGACTTTACAGGGAGTAGTCCTCAGATGGGGAAAGTAGTGCCTTCTCAGGGAAATAGACAGTTTTATGGTTATGGTCCAAACATGAGACCTCGACACTTTGTCAGAATGAATTAAAAGTATCTGATGGATGTTGAAATCTCGCAACTGAGGTGTAATATGAAAACCATCTATCCTTCTGTCCTCAATAATTCAGAAGTGAAAAAAAATTAGATAGATTACACGATCAATATGTACGAGGGTTATCAAAAAGTTCGTGGACTGATACGATAAAATTAATACTATGTAGTCTGTGCTTACAAAATTTATAAGAAACATAAAACAACAAAAGTTTAAGAAATGTTGAAAATTTTAGCTTAATACGTTGATAATTTTCCAAATTATACTAAAATAAAAAAGACATTATATGATCACCCGGCGCTGTTGCCGTTTAGTTTCATGACATCCGACAACGTCACATTTTCTCAATGTCCGCTCCCTCTCTACCTCATTCACTTATCTTGATGAGATTAACTGGAGTTAAGTAGGGACTTAAGCCCGTCTTGTTTATATAACTTTACAATGTCATGAACAGCTGCTTTTAATGCATATAATGTTGTAAGTAGATCTATACATAGGGAAAGATCCTCACTTAATTATGCCATAATACTAAGTTTGTTGGACTTCAATTTCTACTACACATGATGTATGTCACTTTTAGACGTGACTGACTTTTGACTCCCTGAGTACAAACCGACATTAACTGTGCATCTTTCATCTTTCTGAATCTTTTTGGGAATTTTTAAAACAAGTACTTTGGGTGCATTTTATTTTTCTGTAGCCCATTTAAACATTACCTAGGTCTATGGCAGTTTTTTTCAGGTGCGAAAAAGAAATCCCTCCCCCTTTTTGACGTCATTTTCAAGCCCTTAATTTTTTTAAAACTCCATATAAAATTTACGATAAATTTCATAGAACTTACAAAATGGGGTAAAAATTTCAAATTTTTCGCAACAATTGTGTCGTACCACATGCCTGAAATAACGAGATTTTTTGATGACAAATGCTCATATCAAAAGAGTTTTTCTCAGTTACACTCAGGTAGAAAAAAACGTCATATTTGAGGTTGCGCCGCCTGGACATTCTATTGCTTACAAAAACACTAACAATTTATTGAAAAAAAGAAATAAAAGTTATGATTTATGGTTTATTCTATAGATAGTAAAGATAATGCTAACTAAATGTGTTAAAATTCATTGATGTACCTAAAGCGGTTATAATTTAATGGCGCTAGTCCACGGAACTTTTTGATAACCCCTCGTACTGGTCCCAGCTGACAAAGCAGGTAGCAATATTTTTTTTGTTTGTGAGGCTCATTAAATTTACTCTGTTATTGAGGTGCTGGGATTTAATTCTGAAAATGTTAATCCAACTTATACCCATAGCTCCAATTCTAAGGAAGAAATTCTTCAAAATCATATGTCATTTTAAATATTTTTAATATTTTCAACAAAGTGAATTTGAATTACCATATCTAAACTGGATTACTAAACTACACAAAATTCTTACAATGAAAGATACATAGTGGGTTCCAGTAAATGTTCTACCAAGCCTCTTTCTTTACTCCTCACTTAAAAATATTGACAGCAGTGAAGGAGAAATTTCAGGAGTACTTTTCAACAATATATTGTAAATCGGGTGTGGATACGTAAAAACTCCAAGGAAAGTTTAGAAAATTTTGAAATCACAAAATTTTACCAAAACCAATAACATCAAAACATACAACTTTTCGACACTTTATACAACTATTCCAAAAATTAATTAAATAAATTAAAGTCCAGGCTTCTTAACATCATAGACAGCTGCTTTTCATATAAAGATGAAATTGTAAATTTACTTACCTTGTCATTGGTCATTTGCAAATTTATTTTGTGAAAAAGCATTCTGGTTGTACACACAAGTACCTCGAAGTTGATATTTAAAAGATGCTTGAGTTTCTGATTGACAGTATCTACATGTATGTAGTTTTTGAAGATCAAGTCTTCCAACAATCTGTCGGAAATCCCTTGGGTATCAATTGCACCCCGTTATTAGCAGACTTGCTTTGTATTCATATGAAGCAAAATTTATTCCAAAACTTCTACATGAAAGGAAAAAGTATCTTTCCGTGGCATTCAATTCAACATTTAGATATATCGACGACGTTTTATCAATATATAACAATATATACCCTTATTACCTGCATATGGTGTTTATGTCTCCCATTTGATTCGTAACGCTAGAACATGCTTTACGTGCTAACAATTTTTAAAACGAGGCAAGCTATTGTCAAACAATTGGATAGGACAAGGATATCAACAGTCTTTATTAAACTCAACATTTTGCAAATTTTATAGTCAATACTATGACCTAGTCAGCAAATACAATCTATCATTAAGTCGAAAACTGACAGGCGTTTTTCATACAAATTGTTAGGCCATTATTTTCACAACGGAATTGTCTACGGATTTTTCCGTTTGCTCGCTCATGACAATGAGCACACGGCGATGTGGCCGGTAGACAGGGAACACTTACTCCTCCATGGCACCTAATCCAACCTCTGGTGTTTTTAGAATCCGTGTTTGCTCTGCTCCAAATTTGTATTGTTTAAAGGACGTTTGAGCTTGATTACCGTCTCCATATCTCATGGTATTCATTTTATATAAAGTAATAACAGTAGAGGTATAATAAGTCATGTTCATTTCTTTATTTGGACAAATGATGCAAGTGATGTTCAGGTCGTGGAAGAGTGAAGGCTTCTTTATTGAGAAAAAATTCGGAAAACTAGAAGTGTCTTAATAGGATTAAACCTCTCGCAGGACAACTTAACAAAGGGCATGCTTGAGGAAAGTTTGAAAGAAGCCTGTCATCCTACAAAAAGCATTCTGTAATTTTTTGTGATCATAATCTTGTTGAAATATAAGTTGTTGAAAGTTATTACAACCTCTATGGTCATAAGCAACCTTTGTGTCGAGTGTGAAAGTATGACGTTTGACAATCCTGCATTAAAAAGTCAAGGTCCAGTCAACAAATATCAACTTCATACTCAGCTCAATCCTCTATACGTTTAACTTCTGAGCCTTGTCCAAAATGAATCATTACAGACTAGAAATCTTGGTAACAAGCAATCTTTGTACAAAAGATGAATGCCATCTATATATTCTCAAAATACAAAGTTATGTCTTTTAAAGTTTTACATTTTCGAACCCCGTAATCTTAACCTTGTAAACATGAAACTTTTGATAATCTCTTTTACTCACAGACAGAAGACCGTTTATAGATATGTATGTGCTTCAGGATGGACCTCAAGTGGTTGCTGCTCTGGTAACGTATATACAGTTAAACACGCTTATAACGAAATGTCAGGGATGGACGATTTTGCTTTGTTATAAACTTAGTTCCTTATATCCTTTAATTTCACAATATATTTTAAGCCACGGGGAATGAAAATCGCTTAGCTTTAAGCGTCAGTTCATTATAAGCGTTCTCATTATAAGCATGTTTTAATGTATATTTTATTTGTTTATTAGTTAACAATAAACAAGTTCTTATAGACACTATATGTAGTACTGAAGAAAAATTAGACCAATATGGCTTTCAATCTAAGTAAAATTAATTGTAATTAGAAGACAGTTTCAGTCACGCGACATCTCTATATGAAATCAGAACCAGAATCACTGTAAGATGTCGAAGGGCACGAAAATTCATATCTCTCCTATCTAATATTTCAACGATATGATATGCATCTTATAATTCTATATAATCATCCATGCATTCAAATTTAGTTACATGTACATTGCTATCTCCGTGGATTAATGTCATATACTTCTACACAAACTAAAAGATATATAAATTGATTTAACGTGAATGTAAATATAAGAAATATTGATTCGAAAGAAACAGTAACACTAATATGTCAGTAAGGTTTAATGGATATACTCTTATTATGGATTGCACGTATGAACATTGCTATCTCCTCTTATTTGTGTTTAAATGAAGTCAGGAAAAATTCGGAGAGTGATAACTTTTTCCTTATAAATGTGTGTATGTAACCAATGTATATTACAGGCCTTGTTTGATTTAGTAATCATTTTTATAAACAACCAAATAGCATTGAAAATACTTGTCATTGACTTTATATTCTACATTAATCAGCTCTCTTATTTCGTCGCTATCAAATTGGACTAACATCAAACTAGTAGATTTCCCTACGCCAATCCATACACCAACATAAAGAATTCGTCTCCTTATTTTAGCTTTTACTGCAGATAAAATACCTTCGGATTAAATATGTTTAAAAATTCATTTTATGGGGAAAGAGGAAAAAAAGACTCATGATTAAAATATTTTTCAGCGATTTGTAATGGAAGGACAACTGCTCAGGGGGCATGTAATGAAGGGAGTTTGATCTCTAAAAGATCTGGAAGCGCTCAGATATGGGAATACATGTACCCGGCTGGTAATTGCATATCACCGAACAGGTGTAGCTGCAGCAACAACTATTTTTACGGCTCTGGATCTAAATGCATAGGTATTAAAACAATAAAACCTCTTTTTTGTCAATAGCAATGCCAGAAATTACTCTCCGCATGCTTTTCTCGTTGAACAAAATAGATAGTAACTGTATGAAAAATATGTATTGCAGCGATTATATCTTGCAGATTGAATGGGAATGTAGCATTACATCTTATAATTTAAAAAAAAAGAGCGTTTGAAATGAAGTACTGTACTATATGTTTTTTTTTATAATAAAATTTTTACTAATCAGTTTTTTTATTGTATACTTTTTAAAAACATGTAGTTTTGTCATTTTTCTCGATAGCACCTAAGCTTAATTCATGCATGTTTATCTTTTTTTTTTTTTACTTTTCATTATCTCTTTTGAACGGTTTAAGCAAATCTGTTCATTTTTTTAGCCTGTCCAACGATAACAAATTGTATTGAAATGCACTGTTCTGATTCTGCTGCTTCAACGATATGTGCCAGCTGTGAAGGAGTTGTAATGGATAAGCCTTATTACAGAGCATATGTTTCAAGTGACGATAAAAAACAATGTCGAAGTGAGTGATATACTGAAATATGTATTTATTACATTCTTACCATTCTATTCAGTAAAAATCTCTCAATAGATATTTTTTTTTCATATTCTACACTTTATATTACGAAGCTTCATGATTTATCAATGAAAGATCGAAATCAAAATGGAATTCCAGATACTTTGACTAAAAAAAATCATTGAAATATCAGATTTTACATTTTAAAAAGCAGCTTTTTCCTTATTTCATTTCACACTATTTTTGCAGTGTAGTTATGCAGCATAAAACACCCCCCCCCCATGTTAATGATATCATTTATATCCAAGTCATTGTGTGATTTAGTCCCCCCCCCCCCAAAAAAAAAAGGCTTGGAGATAAGAAAAACACAAACACATCCCTTTTGATAAAATTTATATATAATCACAAACAATGGGAAATCCTAATATTTTTATAGTATTCCTCAAGATATTTTCATTGTAAAAGCTAGAGCTTGGCTATAATTTTAAACATTAAATCGCCAAGAAAGCGCCAAGTTGTTTTTTTTTAAGTATTAAGTAACCTTTGCAGTTGTCTATCAAATTATATTGCAAACTGTAAATTAAATGAAAATTCAGATTTTATTCTGATTTTTATTGTGACAATGCAAGATGACGGTGTGTAATTACCAATGTCTCTGATTCATGTTTTTAAGTGAATTTTTCATTGCTAATTTGCAATTGAAATGAAACAAAATATATAAGAATAAGTATGAAGAGAATATTATATCGTCGTTTTTAGTCTATTTTATATGAAAATTAAATGTAACTTGCTTGAAGATTATATTTTTGGTTAAGCCATTATATAACTTGATACGATTAACCGGTGAATCGTTCGGAATGTCTTGTGTTTAACCTACTGACAATTCTTTATTCAATTGACATCCCTAAATCATATAAACATTTTCAAGCACAATTGCACTTTAACAGTACCCAATATACAATAATAATAATAAACATAATTCATAATAATATGGGTTTTTTGACAACCAGTATTGCAGTTACCAAAAGTAGGAATTCCTGTGTAATTCTTTTAAAACTCTACTATTCCTTCAGCTTTGGTTGGATTTCAATAGAATTTATCTATGTACACTAGACAAAATTGATAATGCACCAACAAAGAAAAATAAATATTTTACATTTCAAAACTTAACAATGGTGTATTTGATGTATAAATATGGTACCAAAGTAAAAAACGAGGCATTTGAATGACTTAAATGATGAATAACTACAATGATAACCGAAGTTTAACCATTGTATAAATAAAAATGAAAATAGTGCTCATACTTTTTGGAGAAGTAAATTTCAATTTTTTTCTTTGTTTATGCGTTCTTTATATTTGTACAAAATAAAATCTTAGAGAAAAGATTACACCGTATGCGGCGTTTGATCCTAGCAAGCGTGAGAATAGTTTGAATATATTTGGTGTATTAAGTTTTATAAGTGATACCCGGGCTTGTGACTGACAACGTGTAAATATACATTGATATTTTGCCAGATCTCTTCAATTATAATCTCTCTGTGAAAGATCATGCAGTTATTGCATTAAGAGATTGAAGACTGTTGTCTTTAATGCTAGGAGAGTAGAAATGCACTCTGTACATCTTGTTTGATAGTAAGGTGTAAAATTTGCATGGTACATATTTCTTTGGACAAATAGTTTTTTAAGCGTTTAGTTAAATAAAAATATAACAAACTGAATCTGTTTCCAGAGGCTTGTTCATGGCGGAATGATAGTACGAGATGTTACCCCGGTTACTGTGATGGAGAGCTAGCAGAAAATTGCAACTGTGCAAAGGGATTCACTGGCAGACACTGTGAACAAAGTATTAATTTATGACATCCAAGTAGTCTTTGGACTTAGCTAAGGTGTTGTGACCAATCGTTCGTTAAAAGATGATTTTATAGAAAGTTTACCGAAAAGATTTTAAAGAAATATTTACCGAAAGAGGGCACTAGAATTAGAGTTTGGTAAAGATTGACCATGTTGTTTTCGCCTGACTGAGAGAAATTCTTGGATGATTACTCAGTAACAATAAAAGACATATTTATAAATTGGGAATATATCTAGATATGAATCTTGAGTTATCTTTTTGTACAAGAATAAATTTAAATTTGCTAAGGTTTTCTTTGTCATAAAGCCTATTAGACTCACTTTATGGAGAAAAAAAATTAAAAGGCTTTATATCGTAAAGTTATAGACCAAAAAAAAGGCGTAGTAACACCTTGTAAAAATAGGTGTTATAACGCGAAAAAGGCGTAAGGACGTCTTTTCACTTCCCGTTATAACGCCTTTTTTTTCTCGTTAATACGAATTTTCAAAAGGCGTTATATCGCCTTTTAATTTTTTACCCACAGATTGATCCTAATAGGCTTTCGTACTTAAGCTATTACAAGTTAGTTAAAAGAATTACAAAGACTGTACATAATTAAAGTGAAAAGGTCCATGTTTTGATTCAGAAAAAAACAAGTTTAATTTTTTGACAAAGCAACGATGATTTTGATAATCTCAATCTAAAATACCTGGCTTTAGGGCTGTAAAACTTAGAAGAGGTCATTTTTGAATTCAATCTCACTTTTACGCAAGGAATTTATTATGGGAAAGTAAAACTGAGATCAAAAGTGAGCTCATCATGTCTAATAACATGTCTAATTAGCTTAGTTTTATGGCCCCGGAGCCAAATCTCATTCCAAAGGAGAAATTAAGTTGGCGACCACAACTGTATACAGTACAGGATCAAAACAAGCGTGAACAACACAAAATTGACAGAAGTAAAGTCTTATATCGATAAAACTATAAAGCCTGGTCGTGCAGCAATTTATTTATCAGAAAATTTATAGCGTATGATATTACGATAGTAATAAGTCATACAGTCTTTCTTTATCAATATGCTTGTCTAACACATTGTGCCTCAATACAGGTGTCAGGATTTTCTCTAAAGAAAATCATATAATAAAAATATATGTTGTAAAATTAAGGCCAAAATGACTTAAAATAAAAACAAGTTTATGTGAGTAAGAATTCCTCAGCTTAATTCCATATATATGTAGATCTCCTCTATAATAAGAGACACCAATTAATGAGGTATTCATTGGTAATGTTTCCAGTGACAGAGTATGCTGATATTCTCCAAAACCTTTTCAAGCTAAAAGATAACCACCATGTGTTGACCACCCCATCGCATTCGGTAGACCCTGGACCTCACCCTGTCGTTTGGACTAATTACAAAGACTGGAATCTTGCAGAAACAAAATGGGACGCCAAATATTTATTGAAGGAAAGGCCACATAGCGATGAAGACCATTACATTAAGGCGTTTGTCTATGGCATTATAGATGCCTCCACTACCCTTAATTATACATATACTGTTTTGGACCCTTTGAAGAACATAAATACGACGGATACAATGGACCATTTCAATTCATCGACGGAATCGAATTCTACAGCGGAACAAGTTTTCAACATCACTTACAGTAATACGCAAATGATGAAAAGAGCACAAATCAATTTTTCCCTCTAAAATTATACTTTCAAAACTTTACATTATAAAGCAAAATAATCTTATTTCATGTTGTAGTTCCCAGAATGTCACAAATCATCTATGTGTATAATTGTCCCCAAGCATCACCAGCGAAACCAGCAACTTATTCTTTTGAATGCAAGAGAATTTTTTCTCTGGAATCTAATTCGAAACCTTTCACCTTCAGCACTGGAGATACGTAAGAACTCTTTAAAAATATTGTATATGGTAGAAGCTCAGCAATATTTCAAATTGTATTCTGTATTGAATGACCCATCTATACATTAGCTAAGTATATTTCAACTCTAGGATGACGTTCACCATCAAGGCCAAAATAGGAGGACATCTTATAATGGAAAACCGAGAACAAAATGTCAATGAAACCCATTATCTAGTGGGAACCACCAAAACTTTACAAAACGTTTTTCGTTGGGACTTTGTTCCACCTTACCATTGTTTGATAAATATGAAGATAAATGATGACTGCAAAGATCCACTTGTTGTACCCGATCTGACAGAAAATGTAAGACTTGCTTGTAATGAAAGTTTATCATACGTTAGTAGAATTATTTTTTATTACTTTTATTATATATTTATTCTCTTTAAAACTTTCATTAATTAATCATTTGCTTTTAATTTTTTTCTTAAAAATCTACTTATGAATTTTCACTTTTCGGAGAAATGTCAACAGTATTAGCAAGAAAATTAAATGCATCTAACTTTTTTAAATGCAATGTTTAGTAGTTATACATTGTATATAAATAAGATTGTTAATTTTTAACTTTAACTTTTAGCCCATGATTACAATTACATGGAATGATTGGCATGACGATCTTGCGGGAATAAAAGAATACCATTATGAGATATTGATCATCTCTAGCAGAAATAATATTTTGCAAGAAGATAGACTTCTCGAATACAATGGAACTGGAATCATTTACCTTAATGAATCATCTGTAAGACTTTAATTCTTAATTGTGACCATTTTTCTTGAAATCCTTCTGTTTGTAATACGTTGATAAAAATTGATTTCATACTTTTCCGTTCCAGAAAACATTGAGACTTCCGGGAACTGCAGGTCTATTCTCCATCCATCTGGTAGCTTATGACAAGGCTGGAAATTTTAAAACAACCAGGCGTTTTGTTCTGTACGACAGTGACTCTCGTGTCTCATACAACCCACTCCACGTAACGCGTGTCCAAAGCGCATCTGAGGAAACAAACTACACGTGGGTGATTGATGACACAAAGATCGTTAATGTACAATGGACAAAGAGATTTCGAAATATTCTGCATGACCATAACAAATGGCTTGATGAAATTTCACCGAGTTATGGAATTACGAAGAGTTACGATGATTACTCTGGACAGCGACCCGTCACTAAAGTCAATAATGTTAACGGTTCGTTGGAGTCTTAATTTTTTAGATTACTAAATACTAAACACAAAATTTGATCATGATTCTGTAACATGTCTTTTCGTTTTTTGTTTTTTTTTTTACAGGATGTGTTGCTTTTAAGACAGAGTACTCTATTTATGACGGAGGAAATTTAAAAGATTTCAGACCGTTAGCTTCAGTGTACGATATATCCAAAGAGTCTGAGTTACTTACAATGAATTGGTCTGATGGCGACAAGGCAGTCATTACAGTTGTTGCTGTAGACATTTTTAACAAAACCTTGAATGATACTGTCACAGTTTACCGAGATGCCTCGCCCCCGGTTATAGAGAACCTGTGGTTAACACGAGGGGACGTTTTAAACGTCAGCGTACACAGACTGGAGGATTTCACGCAAATGACGTAAATTCTAAAAACAAATGTTCAATTGCTATTTATCTGCCACTTCAAATATTAGACGTAATAGAAGTAATACCCAGTATCAAAGAAGTGAAAAAGATACACTTTTACGAATGTCTCAATCAATCAACATCACCATCTTTCCTGATATCAAGTCCCAGTATCACGAAGCAGTCTTAGACCTAGATGATGCCATGAAAATATGCTTTTGTATTTGTTTCTTTTCTAATTGATTAATCTGTATATTTCAGAATTGAATGGTTGGCGTATGATTATCACAGTGGCCTAGATAGTATCTACTGGAAGTTGTATGATAATTTTACAGGAGAAATTATTATTCATGGCCACGAAGAATTGTTTGTCCAAGGATCGTCTCAAGTACGTACACATAGTGCGAAGAAAAAGTTTTCATCTTCCATGTGTTCTTAATAATGCCAAAACCACAATAAGTATACAAAGGGTTGCAATCTTTTCTTAAAAATATGTTGAAAATCACATTTCTTTATCAGTGTTTATTTGGAGCGTGTAAGCGAGTCCAAAGAAAGATGGAAATATATTTTTAGTCTCCAATCGATAATACAGGAAGGGACTGTAGGTTTCCTCCTCGTCCGTCCGTCTGTGTCTGTCAGTCTGTCCCACTTTGTTTTTCGTTCTTTCCCCCTTAATGCTTGCAGATATTTAACCGATGTTTGGTGAGTAAGTGTATCTCGATGTTTGCATTTCGTTCCGTTTCAATGATTTTGAAGGAATTATGGCCCTTTCAATTTTTAAGGTTTGTCGCATTTTTTTCTAAACACTTGAAGATATTGAGCAGATTTTTATTATGTGAGTTTACCTCGATGAGTTATAGATAAAGTTTTTGTTCTGCTTTGATGATTTTTTTGGCGGAATTATGGCAATTTCAAATTTTAATGGAAACATGATTATACTGGCCGGTAGGGGACTAGTTTTGCTAGTGCAATTCTTTTAGATTGCTCAGAAAATGTTAACTATTTTTTCTAAGAGACTTGAATTATCAAAGCTGTTTACTTGATTGATTATTGCGTAACACCAAGTTGGCAATATCTCAACCATATTTCAGTGAAGAAAGGAAAAAAAATCATACATGAAATCTTATTCCTCCCATTCTTATCTTACTTTCAAGTAAGCCTTTCTTCAACTTAATAATTATAGTTTCTCATACTTATTAATGCCTTGTCTATGCCAAAAATGCATCACGTGTATTTTGTTTGGCTCTTATTCACCGAAATGCTGTTCTATAGAACCAACAATAGAATTTGAATTTAGAAGCATAATAATTTGAGTTCATTTCTCTACAGGACTTTGCAGAATGTGTTAAAAAATATGGTAATTATAGCAGAGGACCCAAATGTTACCAAACAAACTATTGGGGAGCTTATCATCGTCATTTTCAAGTAAAGCTCGAAGTAAAGAGAGATGGTGGACTCATTCCTGGCAAAGAGATTGCTGCACATGATTCTGATTATTTCCTGGAGGTTAATGCGACAAACAAAGCTTTGTTATCTTCAGTCCTAACGAAGAAGGTATAAAGGAACAGGGACGGATATGTAATTCAAAGAGAGAAATAAGTCGTTCAGTTAAAATTAAAATATAGTATTTATTTAATATATAGGAAAATATTTTAAAAGATGCATTAAATTGTTAAACACATATCAAAAAGTTAAGATGTGCTTAAAATATAAATTAAAAATGCATGCAATAAAAATTGACTTGAAGTTCAATATTCTTCAGATAACTGTTGATATTTCACCCCCACAAACCGGAACTGTACAAGATGGTATCAGAGGAACTGCTGAGGTGGACTTCCAACAAAGTAAGACGCTGAACGCTCACTGGGACGGCTTCTTTGACAAAGAGAGTGGTGTCTTGTTTTACATGTATGGCTTTCACTCAGAACCAATACCTGCAGATGCTTTTCAGTTAGATGCCAGTGACCCTTTTGTAAGTTTTGCATTGATACTTCCAAAGTTTGAACAGTGCTCCTAAAAATATGATGTATACTTATTAAAATATTTTAATATTAAAGAAATGAACTTATTACTTTTGTGGCTGGATTTAAGAATGCTTGTATTTACAGTTTAAAGAAACATATGAGACGTATGTAACTCACACAGTCGCCACTGAGGGGACGTATTACGTTTGTGTTGTCGCCTTCAATCGAGCTCTAGAGCCTTCTAAACCGGTCTGTTCTGATGGTGTCACAGTAACTACTGCAGTACCAGCTGTGTCAGAGGTAGACATTACCAACGCTCACGTTAGGGAAAGTTTAGTAACTGACGTAGGGAAAACAACTTATTGGTTAGTCAGTAGAAACAGGCACAGAAGTTTAATTGCTAATCCAACAAAAGATTGCGTGTAAGTAAATTTTGTTCGATTTGATAGGACCTTATTTGGGAAAAATATTAAATATATTGTAATTTTAAAATACTTTGATAACTAGGAGCAAGGCCGTACCATTATCTGACGTGGACATCTACCCCATTAAATACCACAAAAATGGTTCATATGTTAAAGTGAATGGATCAGTGTTTTGTGCAAATACTTCAAAAACGCCCGGAATATCGAGCCCTGTATTATCTAAATCATCACATGTATGTATTCAAAAGCACAAACATATAGCTCATATATAGTTACGTGTTACTATTGAACAAATGCATTGAAGACATTTATATTTAGCTAATTGGCACTCAGGCAAATATTAATGACAGAATGCTACATGTAGTATGTTTTTCATCTTTTCAGTTCCTTGTTTGAAATTTTTATATAAATGAGTTAAAACAAACCATGATTTTATAAACAATATTAGAACTATTATAAAATATACCGCAATACCCATAACTATATTTGTACACAAAAGCATAAATTCTGTCGTTATGTAGATCACCCTGTTATGGTCCGCCAATGAATCAAACATCCATGATTATGAGGTTGGCTTAGGCACAGTAGCAGGAAGCACAGCTCCAGATATACTTCCATTTAGATCTACAAAACAACATCGTCATATTCACCTGAGGCATACTGATTTACCAGAGGGGGAACCTTTTTATTTCATTATAAAAACCATCAGCAGGTCCAATATTGAAGGCATACAGGTAAACATCTATGTTTTATGATTGTTTTGACTGAACAAAGTGCAGATGTCTATGGCGAAGCTTTTGTGATCCAAAAGTACTTTTCTTTCATGTGTCTTGCTTTTTGTCATGTGTTGTCTGTAAATTTCTCACATTCTGAATTTTTGTCAGAACCATTTGGTCAGTTATTATCAAACTAGACATAATGCATTTCTGGGTAAAATGTTTACATTTTGCTCCTGAATAAACTACTTAGTCAGAAAAGACAAAACTTGAGTGAAGGATTTCATATTTTATCAGTCTATAGGGCCTTGTTTCGTTGATATAACGCCGCCAGTTTTCTCTCCACCAATAAAAATCAACTATCATAATGGACATCTTATAGCCTTTTGGAATTCAAGCAGTTTTACAGATGCAGAGGATTCTTTTCTTCCATCTCTTCAATGCGCTGTCGGTGAGCTACCATTTACATAAGTACTTACAATCCACAACCTTTTAAATTTTTTTTGAAAAATTAGATGATATTCTTGAAGAAAAAAGTATTTGAAATAAGCGTTGAGAAATCCCTTTTTTAACACTGTGCAGGTCATACTCCCACGGGCACACAGATTCAGAATTATTCCCCACCAAAGGCAGGTGGTACCTGTATTCTAACAGAACCACCAACATGTACTGCTATCACTATAAATGACACAGAGTGGGAACTTCAAGGTAACCACACGTACTACGTCACAATAAAAGCAGAAAACACCGCTGGTCTCTCTGTGTTTGGTGTTTCAGAACCTTATATCCATAATTTGCAGCTTCCATCAACTGGGATTGTTATGGATATTGTGGTATATTTTATAGACATCAAAATTTCAATTTCTACAAAAGATATTATATATTATCATAGATTATCCAGATTTTTTTATGCTTTCAAGTCAGAAAGTTTTCTTTTCATAATGATTATAACCTCATGGCATTTAAGTGAGATTAAATGTTGTGTAGAGTCAATTACATCTTAATTTTTTATATTTAAACGAGGGATAAAAATATCAAATGCATCTTTTTTCACTTTTAGAATGACACAGAATTTCGTTTTATTGTAAGTATCTACTTGTTATTTTTATTGTTGGCATTAATACATATCATTTATTTAATATTCCTAAACCAGAGAGCATTACAGATTGCTGTTGATAGTAAGTACATGCATGTTTTTATTTCTTTAATATAACAAATAGGACGTAGAAGATATTGACTATACGTCTTCCAAAACTAGCCTTTCAGCAAGATGGACAGGATTTTCCCATGCATACCTTGATGTAACGTACAAATTTCAAGTAGGAACATCACCTGGCGCTGCAGACGTTGTTCTACATAGAGATGTCGGGAAGAATAATTCCCATACTGAGCAGGGGCTTTCTTTGGAATTTTTCAAGGTAGAGGTTCTTTCCTGAATGTTTAAGTTTTTTTTCTTTTGTCGCCGAAATATGGCTGAAATATTGCCGACTCGGCGTTAACCAATAATAATGATCAATCCTTTTTACTGTTTTCCTTCTCAATATATGAATATTTTACAGACATACTACGTTACTATTACTGCCGTGACGTCTGCTGGAAGCGTTGAAGTGACCTCAGATGGAATTACAGTTGTTCAAGAGAACGCCTCTTTGTCTGGCATATCTGTTTTTGATGGAGAACCATGCATTGTATCAGGTACATATAATCTGTAATGTATACATTTTTCATCAGTGGATGTCAAATATACTGAAAGTGATAGACTTTTATTTTTACTAATGTTAATTCAAATTTAAAGGACATGTATGGATTTTACCGTATAACGGGTATTTTTACGGTAATCCAATTTTTGTACTGTACTGCATTCCTAAACTACATAAAAATCCTTACAAAGAAACATAGCGGGTTCCAGTAAATGCTCTTCCAAGCCTCTTTCTTTACTCTACGCTAAGATATTGACAGCAGTGAAGAAAAAAATGTATATTATATTATATATATATATATATATATATATATATATATATATATATATATATATATATATATATATATATATATATATATATATATATATATATATATATTTGAGAAGTGTTGTACATCAGATGTGCATACTTAAAAACTTAAAAGAACTTTAAGAAATTTTGAAATCACAAATCATCAAAACGGAAGACTTTTCAAAACCTCCTTATACAACCATTCCTAGCTACAGATTCATGTCCAGGCTTTTTAACATCATAGACAGTTGCTTTTTCAATACGAATAAAAATCGTAAATCTACTTACTTGACATTGTTCATTTGCAAAATTATTTTGTTAAAAAATCTGACTGTGCACAAAAGTAATCCGTACATTGAAAAAACGCCTGAGATTCTGATTGACAATATCTATGTAGTTTTTTGAGATAAAGTCTTTCAACAATCTGTCGGAATTCCCATAGGTACCAATTGCGCCCTTTTATAAGCTCGCCTATTTTTGTATTCATATGAATCAAAATGTATTCAAAAACTTCTACTTAGAAGAAGAAAACGATTGCTGTGGATTTAACTCGATTGATGTATATCGACGACGTATTTTCAATTAACAATAGTTACTTCCATTAATTCAAGCGTCAACTCGATATATTTCCAGCCAACTTGAAATTATAGATATCACAGAGTCTGACACATCTGTTTCATATTTGGATATTTTACGTTTAAAAGACGTTAATGATAACCTAACAACAAAACTCTATGATAAATATGATGACTTCAACTTTTCTATCGTCGACTTCCTTTATTTATGTAACAATATACCCCTATCAGCTGCATATGGAGTTTATGTCTCCTGTCTGATTCAATACACAAGACCATGCTCTCATGCAAACAATGTCGAAAACAAGGAAAGCTATGGACAAACAAGGTGAAGAAACAGGGATATCAGCAGTCTCGTTTAAAGTCAATATTTCGCAAATTTTATGGTCGATTCAATGACCTTGTCTCAGAGGTCGAATGCTGATTGAAATATTTCATAAAAATTATTAGACCATTATTACACACTGACTTGTCTAGATTTTTCCGCTTGTCCATCATGACAAGGAACACAAGGCTGGTGTGACCGGTCGACAGGGGATTCTGGCTCTTCCATTGAACCTTATCCGGCCTCTGATATTTTTGGAGGTCCTTGTTTGCTCTGCTCCCACTTTGTATTGTTTAAATGGACTTTTGAGCTTATATCTTCTTTAAGTTGTTTACTGTGTAGATTATACATATATAACTCAAATAAACCACTGAGAGAATCGTAAACATAAGACTACGCAAAATTAAATTAGCTCTGTTTTGACAAAAATTCTATGTTACAAATCTTGCCATCTGTATATCGCAATGAAACCTGATTAAAAATAAGATGCTTTTATGAAGCAAAAGTTTTCTTTGAATATTTCAGGACGAAACACAAATCAAAGTGTACTTCATCACGAGTTGGTACGTTATTTGCCTTTAAGAATGCATTTGGGATAATTCTTTTTCATCTTGAACAATATTGCAGGTTACTATTAAAATAATCATTATGTGATTTTTGTTGTATATTCTAATTGATTGTTTGTTGGTTTTTGAACAGGATATAAGCGTAAATTGCACGAACGAAACCGACTTTCAGTCTTCTACTGACACTTTGAATGCTTACTGGACAATCTCAGAAGAAACTTTATTCTTCGCACCAGATATGTACTATTCTATCGAAAGAAAATACCCTTACGACGGTAAGTTATTTACAAAGTTTGACATAATTCAAAACATAGAAATGTAGTTGTTTATTCTATTAAGTTTACATAATTACTGCGTGGTATAAAACGATTGCATTGTTAATGAAAGCTGTTTAACACAACATAATATATTTTTAGATGATTGGAGTGTCCTTCAAGACTACACATACAATCATGCTCATCAGGAGGTTCATATTAATGGACTCTTGTTAGAACCTGGGAAAATGTATCGCTTTGTATTGAAACTATGTGCTGGGAAAATATGTTACCTGCCGACACATAGCAACGGCGTCGTTATTCTAGCTAATCCACCCGAACCTGGTGATATGAAAGTTGTTCACGAAAATTCCTCTTCAGCTGATAAGGTAAATCTTTATCCTTCCAAATTGATTCAGATTTTTAACTGTTTTACATTTTTTAAACTTAATACAAATACACATTTTTTTGCAATATTTTACACTAGTATTTTGAAAATAATACTTGTATATGTGTTATTATATTTATCCTTTGCTTAAGTTTTCTAAGATTTTCATGATTTTTTTTTCTTCGGCTCATACAGAATAAACATTCTTGGTCAGTTTTAGATTTTCTATAACAAAGGGGTTAGTTTACAGCATCAATATATAAAGTAATTGCGTGATTTAATAACCAGGATACCGTTTTACAAAAGAACTTACGGCTAAGACCAAAACTTAAGCTGATTTGCAAATCTTTTCAGTTGAACTATTCTATGAAAATTTGCTTGCATAAATATATAGAGGATATTCAATGTTTTGTAGTTGGATATGGAATTTATTTCACGAGTGGGACAGGATTTTTGATATTTTCACAAGTGCGAAGCACGAGTGAAAATATCAAAAAATCATGTCTCACGAGTCTGCCATACCTGCTTCATATTTAGATATTTTACTGACTATAGACGATAAAGGCCAATTAACAACTAAATTGTATGACAAACGACTTTAGCTTTTCCATCGTCAACTTTCCTTATTTATGTTGTAATTACTTATGGTGTTTATGTCTTCCAACTTATTCGCTACTCAAGAGCTTGCTCTATTTACGATCAAATTTTAAAGCGAGGAAGGCTACTCACTGATATGTTGATGTTACAGTGATTTGAACAGCCTCGTTTAAATCAGCATTTCGTAAATTTTATGGTCGTTATAATGACCTTGTTAGCAAATACAACATATCATTGGGTTGTATTTTAGCTGACATATTAGTTTCATATTCGATATGTCTAAAATAATCTTTCTCATGAATGATCAAGTTTGTGTAATTCTATTTATATATCTTATACATTATTTTCATTTTAGTTAAAGGTTACCATGGATATGTTTAGGGATCCAGATATACAAATACTAACGGAAAAGTACGGTGTTATAAATAGATATGAATGGGCCATAACGGACCAATCGGATGTAGGGAGACTGCACAACATGTGGAAGGAACTAACGGATTTTGAAGTCATACCAGGGAAATACAAAGTACCTTTTCCTTCAATTTCTTCAAATGATTTTAAAAAGAATATCATAATAGAAATCTATAATCCTGAGTTGCATTTAGCATTTTTTTAATTCTAAAACTTGCATAAAATATCGAGTTACTAGTATTAATAAACGGGGAATTTGAAAGAAATTATAAATCTGCATTTATATATTTAAGTAAATATTATTGACAAATGGTACATCTACGTATTGTGGAAATAAAATAACAAAAAACAAAATTACCCTATGATAAGTCAGTGTAGGTCTTATTTAAAAACGATTTCTTGTAGATTGAATTTACAATACCTTTGTCCGGCAAGTTAGATTTTTCAAAATGTCGTCGATTAACAGTGAGGGGGTATAATAAGGCGGGGCTATCCTCTACAGTCTCCGGAGATATCAAGGACTGCAGTGATCCCCTGCTGATCACACCAAACATTGTCATTGATGCTGTGGGACCACAAGATCCGAGCAGAGGTTTGTCTTTACTTTTTATTAGTGCGAAGTATTTGCAAAATGATGTTTTAGAACAGTTTGTTCGGTTTTCTTTTATAACATGTAAAGTGAAAAATAAATATGCTTTGATCAAGCAACATTAACTATATTATTTAAAAGAAAATGATTTAAAAAAGCAAATGAAATACACGATCGGAAGACTAATTAACAGGAGATTACTAATGCCACCAATACCAAGCGTATCAAAGTTATATTACATGTATAACACATAACTACATTAAGAATACTGTAGTTTTAAAATGGTGCTAGTTTAAAGCTTTTTACGGTTTAAGTAATGCAAACATATGATAGCATTTTTCTGCCTACTACATGAAACATAAATTATGTCAACATGCGAGAAAAAGTATGTCAAAATGCATGATACTTATGTTTACATGCAAAGTAATTACGTTGGCATGCTAGTTACCAATCTTTTTAAAAGAAAATCTTATTTATTGTTGGTAAATTTACTTACTAACTCCAGAATATGACATCATAATGCAACATAATTATGTTGACATGCGACTTATTTATGTCAACAGGCGAGATAATTATTTAGACATGCAACTTATTAATGTCAAAATGTGAATTACGTTAACATGCAAAATATGATGTCAACATGCAAGATAATAAGTTGCATGTCATCATACATATCTTGATCTTTGACATAATTTACTTTTATAACAACATAATTTCTCACATGCTCACATAAATAAGTTGCTTGTCCACATTATTATCTCACATGTTGACATAAATAAGTTTCATTTGTTGGTTTCATGTCAACATATCTCGAATAATGACATAAATGAGTTGCATGTCCACATAATTATCTCGCGTGTAGACATAAATAAGTCGCATGTCGGCACAATTACGGTGCATGTTGCATGTATGATGTCATATTCCGGCGTTAGTAAGTAAATTTACCAACATTGAAATAAGATTCTCTAAAAGGATTGGTAACTTGCATGGCAACATAATTATTTTGCACGTTGAAATAATTATTTTGCATGTTGTCATACTTATATTGCATGTTAACATAAATTATGTTTCATGTAGGTGGCAGAAATATGCCACCATACAAACACTTCTTTTCTTCCAGATGGATATGGAGAACCAATTTTATTGAAAACAAATGCTACATGGCCATATCCTGACATGGACTATACACCTAACAAGAACTACATATCAGCTGTATGGCCTTCTCTTCGATATATTGCATACACTGTGGCTGTTATTAAGGTCCAAAATATAAATGTCACGACTTACTACAAACTATCGTCTTCTCTATCATTCGCTGATCCCTGTAATCACTCGGATTGTATCAGATGTACACACACTGGTTAGATATTAGCATTCGCTAAAGAAATGGACAAAATAAAGAAATAATCTTACGATTTTAAACTTTTTTATCACTTTTTGACGATTGTCAAATATTATACATTTAAACACAATATATCCTTATTGAGCGAATAACCATCAGTTACTTAAGGAAACAATCAAAATTTCCTTAGTGATTGTTTGCTCTGATACTACATACTTTAATATTTCTATATTAGATCGCGAATTCATCAATATAAAGTTTAGAGAAGGTGAACTTGAGCATGGCCAACGTTATATAGTATGTATTCATACGGACCATACTGAAATACACCACGAACAATCTAGTCGAGTTCTACTAGAAATAAATGCATGCAGTGACGGAGTTGTGGTTGATCTCACTCCTCCATCGATGGGAGATGTTTGGATTGGAAGGCGAGGACAACGATACCAGGTTTTATTATAATTGCCAAGAAAAAATAAAATGTTTTAAACATTTAAAACAAAACAATCATTAGTTGTTCATTGTTCCTGAATGGATTTTTGATAAAGTTTTCAGTAAATGAGTATTGTGAGTAATTATATAATTAAGAATTTTGCATGTAGTAGTACAAATATAATGAGATACATAATAAAATGTCATATTCCCTGTACCAAATCGTCTTTAAAAATGTCTTTTGTTAATTCAATTTTTGTTGCATCAAAATTCTAATCAAAGGATTCTAGGTATTGAATTGAACAGTTTTGAATTCCTTGTCCATTATGTTCATGGACTGCTGTGTGGCATCTTGTAAAGTCTTTTTAACTGGATATTGATATTACAGATATCTACAACTGACATGTATGTAGCCTGGGATTCATTTAAGGATGTTGAAGAAATTCAGACAATATCTCATGCCTCTGGAGTGCAGTATTACGAACTAGGAATTGGTGAATTTGATTTTTATTTACTCAAAAAAATGTATAAAGTCATATAAATCAATTTGTTGTATTTGTTAGCAATTTCTATTTTTCTGTTTGTGTAGGTACCTTTATTGGCGGAAATGATATTGTTGCATTCAGAGATGTTGGAGTTACCAATCATAAAGCTATACATGGTCTAACCTTGCAAAGTGGTCACACATATTATGCCACAATAAAAGGTGAAAAGAATTCATATAATAATTTATTCAAATAGGATTCATTCAATTTTGTTTTTATGAGGAATAACTTTCGCTTAAAATTTCAGCAACTGATTTTGTCAATAGAACTACTACTCAAACATCGTCACCAATCCTTATTGATACCAGTCCGCCCTTAAAATCTAACAATCCTATCACTTTAACTGGACGGCATATTACATCTGTCTCGGAAATCGAAGCATGGTAAAGATATAACTATACATTTCAAATTACCTGCTATAAGGATAAAATAAAATACTTCTAAAGGTCTTCTAATGCAATCAATGGGTTTGGAGCTAAATTATTTTATTTAAGCATATATATTTAAGTATATATATTTAAGTATATATATAATATTATGAATAAAATTGAATATGATACAGGCAAGATTATTTTATCATTCTTTGTTTGTGCTGGTCAGTTGGAAGGATATATTTAGTGATCCGGAGAGTGGTGTAGACTTCTACATGTGGTCTATTGGTTCCCAGCCCGCTTATTCTGACATGATGGATTACACCCGTGAGGATTCCGAATGTGGAATTAATGATAAAAAGCACAGATTGGATATCAAAGAAGGACACACATATTACATAAATGTTAAGGTACCTTTACAACAGAGCAATGATGTGTTCATTTAATGCTTTATGTGTTTCTAAAAAGAATTATTTATCTAGGCCTTCAATAAAGCCCACTTGGTGTCACTAGCGACCTCCTGGGCCCACATAGTAGACCTCTCACCTCCTGTTAAAGGTTACGTGTTTGAACTTTCACCTTCAGGAAACAGTAAATTGGATATAGATTACCAAACAGATATGTCCAAATTAAAGGTATTCTGGGAGGGGTTCCATGACCCACATTCGTCAATCAAAGAATTCTTTGTTACCGTCGGAACTTGTCGTCGCTGTGATGACGTAATCGGACGTCAGAGTGTTGGCCTCGTGACTGGTAAGAAATGATTTTGTTTACTGGCTGCATTAATGAAAGAATATCAAAGTATGGTTTTATCTGATTCTTTAAACTCGACTTTGGCGACAGTTTAATAGAATTAAGATTTTTTCAGAACAATATTTCTTAATAAACAATAATTTGATGAAATAATACACATCCAGCAATAATATTTCACCTACTTTTTTTCAGAAATGACGATAGATTATGTCAAATTTGGCTCGGGATTAACCTATTATACATCAGTAACAGCCTGTAACACTGCAGAATTTTGTACCACAGCTTTCTCTGACGGCGTCATCATGGACAATAGTCCTCCAAATGTGGGCGTGGTTACAGACGGGACTTCCTCAAACGACATAGAACATCAGTCAATCAAGTGATTAAATGATTTCAAGTTATATCAAGGATTTAAAAAACAGCAAAAAATATGCAATTAAGGTCTTAATTAGATAACAGAGATTATTATATCTTATTACCATCATATACAAGGGACTGATTATGTTCATATATTGATCAAATTGTCTACGATAAGCAATGGTTTAACAAATACTGATGCCCTATATCTAAAAACCTAAAAATCGAAAGTGTAAAATCTATCGGCAAGAATTTTTATTCATCATGCATGTGATTGTATTTATTCGTCGATAATACCCATTTTTTCATCTTGTCTATGAAATATACGCACAATTGTTTTCTTTAACATTATCGAAGTTTTTGTGCAATGATTAGACAATGAAATTTTTGCGTCAAGTGACCTTAATTGTATCTTATCCCGTCCTTCATCGTAAGTCTTTGTAAGCTTTTGAGCATTTAGAGTTTCTCTTGATGACTGAGTAAATTCTAGTTCAAAGAGTCTATAGACATTGGGGGTACACATTAATTTCATTAGCTCTGCACATTAAGGGATGTGGTAAAACATAAAAATTAATGTAATCTTTAAAATAATTCAAATACTGGACATTCTACAGACGAACAGATTTTTTCATGATTGTAATAACAATTAGACCTCTTTCAAAATTGTGATGTTCTTCAATTTTGATCTAGGGTACTAGTCCCATTGAGAGCTTAGATTGCCATATATCGAAAATCTTTTATATCTTTAACTTTGGGACATATTGTAAAATGTTTGCTTTTTAATAATGAGTAGTAAGCTCTTAAACAAAACTGTGAAATCGTGGTATCCAAGGTTTGTGCCCTAGGATTCGGCTATGTTGGTCATTAATTAAAAGTTTTTAATATTTTTTTGAAAAAACTTAGTTACATGTACATAAGAGCATTTTTCATTATTGTTATTTACCATATCAACCTCTTGCGTCGGGACTCAGGAATGGGAATGTCGATTTTACACTACATAATAAATGATTAGATATCTTTATAAATCTTAATAATTGTTAAAAAGTTCTCAAGTGATTTTATAAAGTTTAATGACATGTATGGGCTCAGAATTGTTGTACCAGGTAGATCTTAAGACGATCATATTTTGAAAATCTCACGATACCCATGAGATGACCGTTTGCTTTTAATTTCATCTCTTTTTGATTCGCAGAACATAAAACGAAAATTTCATTCATGTAAATAAAATTGAATAGTCAACATAGAAAGTATATATATATGACAGCCTCTTCATGAAATTCGATTTTTTTTTTATTAAAGGAAACCTTTAATGCGTATATGTATTTAAACTTTCTTTTTTAACTTCCTTGATGATAGAAATTGGATTGGTGCCAAGTGGCATGGTTTCACTGATCCACAGTCTGGAATATCTCATTATGTTTGGTGGGCAGGGACCACGCCTGGGGGAAAAGATATTCTTACGGAAAAAGAAGTTGATCTGGTTGAAGAGGCAACAGCTTATAATTTTTCACAGGAACTACCATTATCAAAACGTATCTACGTAACAGTTAGAGCATATAACAAAGCGGGTACGTGAAAATACATTTACTTGTATATTATAATTGATTATTTGTAGTTTTACGTCCCTTACAAGATTAATTAACTCATATGAGACGTCACCGTATGCCGGTGAAGGGCTTCCAATTTTTACTTTTACTTGGCAGTGAGGGATCTTTATCGTGCTAACGCTTGTCGTAACACAGAGCCTAGGTTTCTAAGGTCTCATCCGAAAGACCCGCAATGTTCACTTCAAACTGCCGAGGAACAGTTACTTCTTATTTTTTTTTTATCGACTTAGGCTTGTCAAAGCCAGGGCTTGAACCCATGGCCTTCCGATCACGGAGTAAGCGCTCTACCGACTGAAATACCTTGGCGGTTTTACTTATATTCTGAGTATATATAGAGATAACACAAAAACTATAGTATACGTGTTTATAAGTAAAATGTTACTTGAATGGATATTACATGTTTTCGTCTGCTATTTACAAAACCAACAGTTGTTTCGTTTTTAGGATTATTTGTTGATGGTATATCTAATGGATTTTTTATTGATGAAACTCCTCCTGTAATAACAAATGGGCCTAAACTCACAAAAGGTTCCAGACTGATTGAAAATACACAGGTATACAGATCACTTGTAAAGATCGAGTGGAACGTAACAGACCCAGAATCACATATTGAAAGACAGTACCTGTCTCTGAAATCCCATATTGGCGGTGACTTTAGCTTGTCTTCTACCCAGGTAAATATAAAATGAGCTGACGTGTTACTAGTAATTTTTTTTCAAAGTCATATTTGTATACGCATTTGCCGAAATGTTCATCTGGTGCATCAAAATTGGTACCGTATAAGATTTACATTATGACTCATGGGTCGAGGCCTCTGCTGGTGGACTGTTAGTCCCCAAAAGTCTCTACAGCCCAGTAGCTAAGTACTTCGGTACTAGCTTGAAAATACGTATATATATTTAATTGCTATAGAAAAATTCATAAATTTATTTCAAAATTAAAGATTATCTCCATCATGCATAGCTCTGATTCTTCGACGTATTTGGCTCCAGTCTTTTGCCCTCCTTTTTTCAACTCTTCATTTTTTTTTATTTGAATATTTCTGATTTTCAACGTTTTGGCATGAACATCACTGATTTGTTGAGGCTCATCTTTTGCATCAAAATTGATTTAAATTTGATATAAGATTTACATTCAAAACTACAGTTTCCAGAAAATTATAATCTGAACACTTTTTATAGATAAATGGTATTGCACGGGATTTCGTTCTCAGTGGACTTAAACTGCATGACGGAGTCACATACTTCGTTACCTTAATATCTTGTAATGAAGCTCATTTGTGTTCTTCGAGTACCTCTTCTGGGATTCAAGTGGATAGTACTCCTCCAACTGAAGGTAACCTAGACCTATTTTCTTATATTTTATTTGAATAATATGATTCATTCAATGTTCCAGGATTAAAAAAAACATACTGCAATTATCACATTTTTGCTAGGTACTTTTGCGATACAGACCGACCATGCTGTTGACATAGAATTAAGCCGCCATGTATCTGGTTTCATGACCTGGTCGGAATATGATTTGAACCTTGCCTGGTTAGGATTCTCGGACGCTCACTCAGATATTTCACACTACTTTGTCAGTATTGGTTCATTTTACATGGGAGACGACTTAAACGCTGTGAGAACATGATCTTCTCTTTGTCTTTTGTTTCAAATTCGTATGATAATATCATGATCAGTTAACGTACATGTATTCATCTGACATTTTGGATTTTAAAAAAGAGAAAAACATTTTGAATTGTTATATATTTTGTCCAATTTCAGGAGTCTGGTGTTCCAATGAGAGTTAACCATAGCACAACAGGAGTCGATAAATACGACGAAGGAAGGATTCAGGCATACAGAATTTCTACTCAGAATCTATCTGCATATGACAAATTGTACATAAGTTTGTGGGCCGTAAACAAGGTAGGTTTTATTATGATTTTGCAAGAACTACCCGAAAATAATGATAAAAACTTTCACTTGAATATTTGGTGTTCTTCCCAATGTCAGGTAGGACTATCAAGTCCCATAATTTACTCAAAATTTACGAAGTTGCCTGGTGGAGTTCTATCATTAGTGAGGCGATGTGAGGCTGAGGATTGTGAAGGACAATGTCTCTGTGCTCCTCAAGACAAAGTTTGCCACCATAATGATTCCCTATGTAATGACGTTACAATTGGTAATAATAATTACGAGAATAATGAAATTTGTTCAAATATTCTAAGAGTAATTGCTAATCGATCATAACAATGCTGGTTTGATATCTATCTATATGATTGGGATTTTTTATCAATGCATATGCTCACATGCAATATAAAAAAGCATTAATTGTTCTTTAGGAAATATAAACAACCTGATAAATGTATCAGACGTGACTTTTGGGGTATCGGATTTACACTTTACACCCAGTAATACTGTGCTGCAAGGCCGTTGGTCCATAGTCGATAGACAAGGCAGTCATCCATTCATGTAAGGCTTCTCCATGTAGATACTGTAACCCATCTATATATGTAGTGTGAATGGTTAAATAAAAGATTTCTTCATATCTGAATAACCATTGACCAACACCATCCTGTTTATACAAACAATATACATAGACTGATGCAGTACACAGCAAATATGAAAGTAAAAGTAAATGTATTTACGGCTAAGCATATGACAATAACGCTGTAGTAAATTATAAATATTTTGTTCTGATAAATATTCATATTTTTGTTCCCTTCAGGTACCAGTGGAGCGTTGGTTTTACAGAACATGACATGCCATTTGGAATATTTGATCCGCAGAACGATACTGTGTGGATCGACGCAGGACAGAACAATTCTACCACTTACATTACAGCCCCAGGTAATGTAATCCAACAAATGTAAAACTTGAGAGATGTTTCATAATGAGACTGAGGTGTTAATCATAAAGACAATGCAACTTTTTGTTAAGAAATAATTTTTAAGGAAGGCATTATAAATTTTATGCAACAGTAACAGATTTCATAATTGTCGTCAAAATTATATTTTCATTAACAAGGAACATATAGTAACATGTTTGGTACATGTATACTGTAAACCAACTATTGTTTACGACAACTTTTGTCCGCGGTATTCCTCAATTTGAAATCTTAATGGGCGACTATGAATGGTGAGGAATATTTTCGAGAAAAAGGCCTCGAAACTCATGGAAATATTTTGCAAGCTAGCTGAGAACACTTTCTTTACATTAATTCTTAACTTCACAGATTTCTTTAATAGTAAATAAAGTCTACTAACGGGAGGTTAACATCTTGGGCATTTCTTATATTTGGTGCGAAACATGTAGTGTTACAAGTGACTACGATGTTGTTTTTTGTTACAACAGGTCAGTATTTAACGGAGGACGTCTCCTATTCTGTATTTGTAAGAGCCTGGTACAACAAAACCACGTATGCCGTCTTCAAGTCGAAGGGAGTCACTGTAGAAACGGCAGAACTTGCAGCCTTCAATATTTCAGAAGGCAGCGTGAGTGATTTACTGTTCTACACATGTACGAGGGGTTATCAAAAAGTTCGTGGACTAGCGTCATAAAATTAAAACCGCTTTAGGTACACCAATGAATTTTTACACATTTAGTAAGCATCATCTTTTCTATCTATAGAATAAACCATAAATCATAATTTTTATTTTTTAATAAATTGTTAGTGTTTTTGTAAGCAAAGGTATGTCCAGGCGGCGCAACCTCTAATATGACGTTTTTTCTACCTGAGTGTAACTGAGAAAAACTCTTTAGATATGAGTATTTGTCATCAAATAATCTCGTTAATTCAGGCATGTGGTACGACACATTTGTTCAGTAAAATTTGCAATTTTTACCCCATTCTGTAATTTCTATGAAATTTTATCGTAAATTTTATATGGAGTGTTCAAACAATTATGGGCTTGAAAATAACGTCAAAAAGGGTGAGAGGTTTCTTTTTCAAACACTCTATAGAGTTTCGCTCCTGGAAAAACTGGTATTGACCTAAGGAATGTTTAAACTGGCTACAGAAAAATAAAATGCATCCAGAGTACTTGTTTTTTAATGCCCAAAAAGATTCAGAGAGATGAAATATGCACAGTTAGTGTCGATTTGTAGTCAGGGTGTCAAAAGTCAGTCACGTCGAAAAGTGACGTTGATCATGTGTGGTAGAAATTGAACTCCAACAAGCTAAGTATTCTGGCATAATCAAGTGAGGATCTTTCCCCACATAAAGATCCGTTTACAATATTATATGCATTGAAAACAACTGCTCATGACATTGTAAATTCATATAAATAAGACGGGTTTAAGTCCTTACTTAACTCCAGGTAATCTCATCAAGATAAGTGTATGAGGTAGAGAGAGCGGACATTAAGAAACAATGACGTTAAACGGACGTCATGACACTAAACGGCGACAGCGCCGGATGATCACATAAAGTCTTTTTAATTTTAGAATAATTTGGCAAATTATCAACGTATCAAGCTAAAATTTTCAACATTTCTTAAACTTTTGTTGTTTTATGTTCCGCATAAATTTTGTAAGCAAAGACTACATATTATTAATTTTATAGCGTCAGTCCACGAACTTTTTGATAACCCCTCGTACATGGTATTCCATTTGATAATCACTTCGGTGAAGCAAAGAACAGTTTTTGCTTAGACTAAAATTTGAAAAATTTCTTTTAACTGTGCTATTAAAAAAAAAACACCATTAAAATTATAGCTAACGATTTTAGGAAGTCAGTTATCCAGTTTGACTTTTATCATCATATGCTTAGTTGATATGAGTGTTTGATCTTTTATATGCGAGTTCATGCAACAACAACAAAAAAAATTATGAAGTAAGTAAGTATTACAGCTCCTTCAAAACATTGCACAATATGGAGAATTGTTTATGTCTATTTTTACACTTTTAAGGTCTGACGACACGTTCTTCGAATACCTTTGTAATATACCAAAAATCTAAAAAATAATCATCATCTTTTGATTTCTAAACTATTTAAAAATGTCTTGAAAAAAATATATAAACCAAAAATCGTGATATCAGCAGTTTAAGCGATTTCCAGTATAGGATTATATAGGAAATGCCACCCTCTGGTATCTTGCACAAATGCCTGGTAACGTACCCCATTTTTTGAGGACACTTTTTAAAGTAGCAATACTAGTATTTGAATCACAAGTTCTTGGGAAAATTTATATAGTTTTGAGGAACGTGTCGTCTGACCTTAGATTATTGAAATGTTGTAGATAACTGAAACAATGGACGGAAGTACCATGAAAGATGATGATTATGTGAAGGGTGGCATTGCATTAATGGTGAATTGGACAGATATGTTTACAGACAACCGGGATTCTATAAAATCCTACCAAGTTTACATAAGCACAACGCCAGGAGGTATAAAAATAACCGATTAACTTACTGCTCTTTAATTTGAATGTGTTCAACATGCTATAAAGATAGTTCATTTTACACAGCTGCAGTAGTATCATATATCTGGTAATAGATTTTCACAGGGTTTAGGATAATCATTTATATTACATGTATCTGTAATAATTATTGTCCATTATCCTGTGTCAAATATATGATATGTAAAAATCTCTACCCCACATCAATTCGCTAGATTTATATATCTTCTTTGTTTACTGTACATCAGGCTACGGTGTTTGGGACACTGAAGAAGATATACCAAACACAGAGACCACATACATGATTAGTAGACTTTCTCTGTCCCCAGGAATTCAGTACTTCACAAATGTCATAGTATACGGCTTCTCAGGTGTCCACCACACAGAATCCTCTGACGGATTCATAATTGACGACGACAAACCAAGATCCGGAATAGTTTGGGATGGAATAGGTTTGCGTATTTGTATATATCTAAAAATACATTCTGATTTGAAAAATTAATATTTTCCTCGAGAAATGTAATAGTTTTCCAAAATATATGTTTTTCTCGATGAACGGCCCTAGTATATTAAAATATAGCATAATAATTCCACAGATTTACATGACTTGGAGTATCAAAATTCCTCGACCTCACTTCACGCTAGATGGGAAGGATTTTTAGACACAATCTCTGGGATTAGGAATTACTTTTGGTGTGTAGGCAACACGACCACAATATCATCAATACACTCCAATACTGAATGCAACGTTTGGGATTGGGAAAATGTTGGGATTGAAACTTCAGTTTCTAGAAAACTTGCGAAAGGATTGGCTAATGGTATGATTTAATGTGTCTTCCTGATGCATTCTTTAAATTGTTCGAAGGACAACTCTGTTTCTTCTGCTTCCTTTCCAGATGCGTATACCACCTGGTATTTAGAAATAAATACATACTAAATGTTTCTTTGTATTTGCTATGTTAGGCGAACATTTTGGAGCCATTAATAATTATATCATAAATATTTCTATAATCATTTTCAGGAGCATTATTTATTATACATGTATCAATTCTATTCATATATTTAATAGAAACGTTGTGTACATCCCCCTGTTTTATTTTTACTATAATAAGGTTATATATTTTGGTTTTATTCAGGGAAATCCTTTTACAGCAAAGTCTACGCCATGGACAACGTGGGATACAAATCTGATATAGCAGTTTCCAGTGGAGTCACTATCGACACCACTCCACCAAAACCTGAATACCTTTATCATACCAACAAAAATCTTTTGTGGAATCCTTCCTTTGAATTATCAAGAAATTCATTGGCAATTGAAAATATCAATGTCCAAAACATCTGTTCACTTGGTAATGACTTCATTCCGGATTACTGGAATCTGACATATGACAGTTGTTCTGCTGTTGTGTCATCTTTGAAGAATTTTGCTAGAGATGGAAACTCATTTCTTTTTGTCAGAGGAAGTGTTAAGCAAGTCATTTATGGTCTTACTATTGGAGAACTCTATCGCGTCATTTTCTTTACTAGCCATCTTCCAATATTATTGGAAACTGTAGCCAATAAAGAAGTGTTTCTAAACATTGGAAAAAAGAAACACGTGTTTCTTTTGTATTCAAAGGCTTACAGACATGATGACCAAGATGTATCGGAAACTCGTGAAACTGTTTCCTGGCAAAAACATAGCTTCTATTTTACAGCAGAAAATGAGAACACTGTTTTAGAAATTGGCAGCACAGACATAAAAATAGGCCTGTTAATCGACAACGTTACACTGCAAAGTGTAGAGAGGAACCTTAAGAACAGTACCGACTCTCACGGATCTGCTTACGTTGTTTATGTACATCAATGGGGTTCCATACATGGAGCCTGGAGTTTCTTTGAAGATGTTAGCCCTATTATAGAATATCAATGGGCGATAGGTAATGTAACCTTTTAATAATCATTTATTATCTTTCTTGAGGTGAGTTTTTAACAAATGTTGTTGACACTTCGTATACTTTTTCTTCACTAGGATACTCGGAAGGTGGAACACAGATCCAGGGTTTGACCAGCGTTGGGCTGAACAATTTTGGAATAAATACTAATGTTACCTTAGTCCACAACACATATGTACATGTGACAGTAGTTGCTACGAATGCTGTTGGTCTTCTTGGCACCTCCTCTGCTCCTGTTCTTGTTGACTTGACGCCACCAATTATTTTCACTGTGAATGACGGCAGATTATGGTGTAGGCTCAAACATATATCAAAATGCTTATGAATTTTGCATCATTTCAAATTTGTAAAAAAAAAAAAACAAAAACATTAATTAATGACACATTTTTTTTCAGATGAGGATGCTTGGAATGATAATAAAGTTATCGTAAATTTTGCAAGGAACGACGAGGAGTCGGGCATTGACTATTGCGAATGGGCAATTGGTATAGCAAAATTAAATTTTAAAAATGCTGATCTTCTTTACAATTTCTTTTCTGTTTTATGACTTTGACAGTCTTTCTTTCTTCAGGTTATCAGCCAAGAGGAACAGATTTACAGAAGTTCGAAAAATTACCATACAAAGAAACTTTTGTGGTTAAAGATTTCAACTACAGTGTACTCGAAAATAGAACCATATTCTCTACAATTAGATGTCACAATCGCGCTGGTTTGTCAGCTTTTAAGTCTTCTGACGGTGTGAAGATTTCAGTCCCAAAATAACCAGTCACAAGTTCTTGCAACAACAAGAAGCAATGTAATCCACTTGAATCCAGAGAAAATTACTATACATATATACAATGTTTTTCTTAACTTATATATGACAGTTTCTTTAATATGATAATCAGTAAAAGTTGAATAAGGAATGTATCGCAATATACTAGACAAGTACCATTTCAATACAATATACTTTTGGATCTATGTAAACTCGAAAATGTTGCAATCATAACTGAGATTCGAGGATGATCTACAAGGAAATAGTCAAATTCAAAAATAATGATTCTTTTAATGAAGTATACATAAAAAAGTATATATAAAGTATTTGTTAGGAAGCATTACTTACCAGAAACAAACCAGTAAGTCCTGTATGTAATTACTTTCTGACCCGGAGCTTGCTCAAAGTACTTGGATAGACCCTCACGGACTGAAGCACAAGCAATACACTGGTGGACCTTGTAGCATTAACCATTAATTATATAAAAATTCTCTTTATGATTTAATGTAGCAGTAAACCGCCTTTCAACCATTTGTTGTACAATATCCTTTAATTATACTTAAGACAATGTATCGTATATCATACATGTAATGCCGTCATCCATAATTGAAATGCATTTTGTTTAAGTACGTATAATTCTGTCCACATATGGGCCAATATTCTTGTCTAATCCGTACACAAATAATTCCTAAGAAATTGCAAAGTCAATATTTTAAAGGGACTAAAAGTTTTATCCATAATAGACAAGATTTCGGAAAGTATAGCATCCGGATTAGATAGATTATACTGTGTTACCGTATCATTCATGTCACATTAATCATTATTTGATTTTAATTCAATATTCCCATGGCTACTGCAATGCTTTTTAAAGCTTCATCATTGAATATTACTTTGTAACATTATCAAATTTTTTCAAAAGCTTAACTTTATGAGCATAAGATGTTTCTGTACAGTGTACTTGATTGTACTCAAAAGATTTTTTTTATCGTTTCGTGTGTTATTGGTGTATTAATCACACAGACTTATCACGTACACATATTTCATGAAGCGCGCTAGCGTTTATACATACATATTATATAAATATTAATTATTCTATAAATTATATATATATATATATATATATATATATATATATATATATATATATATATATGCAAATGCAAAACTGGTCCAGAGGTAGTATGTATAAGACCTACTAGGATTAATTCTGCAATGCATTTAGGGATGTTAACTAAGAACCTTCAGTTTATAATGTAACTTTGTCTTAAATAAACATACAGATGATTCCAAAAAGCAACAAGAGCAGCTAATTTCCGAATTATTGATTGATTGTATGTTGTTTTACGTCCTGTTCAAGAATATTTCATATAGAAACGCCACCATATAACAGTGAAGGGCTGTAAATTTTGACCTTTACTCGACACTCAAGGTTATTTAATAGTGGAGGATCTTAAACCGTGCCAACACCTTACGTGTCACGGGGCCTTGGTTTTTAAGGTTTCAGCCAAAAGACCCGCAATTTTCACTTAAAAGCACCGAGCGAGTGGCGAAGGAACAGTTATCGACTTAGGTCAGTCGTTGCTGAGGTTCGAACCCACGACCTTCAGATCACAGTTCATTTTTGAATTGGAGACTTTTATTTACTTTTCTCAATAACAGAAAAAAATGGAGGCGATAAACTTCTGTTATTCATATCTGTATTGAAAAGCTATTTACAGTAGTAAAATATGTTTACAGTATTGAATAAATTGATCCTCCACAGCATGATATGCCCGTCAAATATAATTCAATTATCATGAAGAGTTTAGAGTGCAAGAAAATCCTGCCAACCTTGATACAAAGATTTCAATGATTTTTTTCCATTTCTTATAATGTTTGATGTACATACATCTCCTGTGGTGTAGGTATTAATTATAACAAATAATACATCATATATTTCTCAAATGACTGTGTTAGAGCTTAACAAATGCCCCTCTGCAGCTTTGTTTATTGTATGTTTAATGATTGATTAACAATGCCACAGCCTAATAAAACATCAAAACAAATTATATTTATTCTTTAGACTATAAAATTGCCATCTGAGTGAGACACGACACTCTGCCATTTGTTGTGAAAATGTAAAAGTTAAAAAAAAAATATTATACAATATCTAATTAGTTTAAATTATATTATACAATTTCAAATTAGTTTTAATTATATTATGAAATATCAAATTAATTTTAATTACTTTACACCAAATTTATCTTGAAAATTTGGCTAGCTAACAAGAACTATTTAATCCAACACAAGCAAGAGTCTGATTCCTTTGCCCAATTCCCAAGAGATATAGATAAAACCTGCTTGATCAGAGATGATCTACCAGTTATCTCCTCACACTAAACTCATTAATTTCTCTCTAACTTGACATGCAATTTTCTGTTATCAAAATTCTCCTTGACCAGTGCTTGTTAGCTCACCTAAGGCTCAAGTGAGCTTTTCTGATCAAAGAGTGTCTGGCGTCCATCTGTCATCTGTAAACTTTTACAACAACGACAGACAATGGATTAATTGCAAAAAAAGTGCTCTGTTTCTCAATTTATTTCTCAGCATACATCAAAATATTACAAACCTTTTGTTCTTTCACTGCTTCTACAAGGAACTTGCATGTGCAAGTCATGTAAAAAAAAAAGATCTCATTTTCTTTAAGTTTGAAAACTAAGTTGTTTGAAATTTAAATAGAAAAACCCAGTGTCATCAGGGGAGACGATGTGAAGTGATGTGATTTGGGGCTTTATCTACCTCTGCTTACACTTGAGCAGAAAAAAAAGAGATCAATCTTGACTTGGTACTTTTGAGAATTTATTCACATTTAAGATTTCTTAAAATGTTCCATCAAAACGTTTTTTGTATAAACAGACATAACAACCAGTCTTGTCAAAATTATACATACTTTCATAATACAAAATAATAAAAATTGTTTCACCACTCTTGTCCCTGTCATCATGTTTGTACACAACCAAAATATTTATACCAAGAATAGCTTTTAACATGAGTGTCACATATTGCAATGTCTCTGATACCTTTCATCTCCTCCCTATCAAATTTCTGCTTCAGAGTTATATAAGCTAGAACACTGCTAGCTTTTATTATCACTAGAAGTCTCTGGAAATAGTAACTTTTCACACACTTCCCTCCTTTGTGTGAGGTGATTGGCCATCTCATTTGGATCTGTGTGTTTATGGGGTGACACCTTTATGTAGAGAAACTTGTTTCATTGGTATTTACTATACTGTACAACATCTAACATAAACAATTTTACTTATGCTTAGAATCATCTCAGATAATATAAAAGACCCAAAATGAAGCAATTTTTGATAAACTTGAACAGAAATACCGTGATATCTTTGACTTTGTCTTCTTTGCTTGCAAATTCTCTCAGCATATAGTTATTACCAGCCTAGAAGTTAAACAACTTAAAATTTAATTAAACTTCATGAAAAAAAAAAAAACATGTACAGTATAAAATTGCCCTTAAGAACATTTGGTATAATTACAATAATGCATCAACTAAGGTATTAAAAATTCACCTCATAATGCAGCCTTGTGTCATTCACTCGAATCATAACATTGTCCACTCTCATGTAGAATCTTAGCAGAACAAAGAAACCTGATGGCATTACTCTCTGAAAAAAATATTAAAATAAAAATAGTTTTTTCATCAAAACTACAGATTAGTTATGGTAGCTAGCATCCTTGTAACATCAGAAAATTATCATTCATACACGTAGGAATAAAATTTTATACCTGGTATGTAAATTAAATATCAAAGATTCCTTCCTATCAGTAATGGTTTAAGCTGTTAAACAAACTTCTTACTGGTTTGCATGTACTCCTCATACGTGACAGTGTTCATTATCATCATTCATCCCCTCCCTACATTGTGTATTTGAAAGGAGGGGGAGGGGCTGATTTATATTGATTTAATAATGTCATGGCTAATCGCACAGATTTTCTTGACTTGAGGAAGACCTGTCGGCACACCATATTACTGTAGGTGAAATCAGACATCTGTGTTGTATAACTATCCAACACCGAGAGCTGCATCACCTTATAATCCTTAATTCTTTATTAAAAATTCTTAATTTCCTTATCATTTCTTAAATTTGCTGGAGAATAATTTGAACAATTTTCATATGGATTATACAAAGCAATTTTCAAAGAAGTTTCACCTGATAATTATGGCATGCTAAGATTTATTTCTAAAGTACTGTCAAAACACAAATTTTACATCATGTGTGATATAGTAATTGGCATCAAAACATTTGACACTATGTTGTAATTCAAATCAGTACATGCTAATATCCTTGAAATAATGAAAACTTTAATTCAATCAGTTTAAAAATAATCTGATATGCAGCTGTTTTACCATTCTGACATTCAGCAGTGATGCTCCATTATCAGCTAGCTCATCTTCAAAGAGCAGTATGTCTTCATAAAACAAAATCTTCTCTCTGACCTTAAGTTTCTCCAAGTTAATTCTGTCACTTGTTTCTGTAACCTAAAATATTAAGTCAATACTGTACCTTTCACTAAATCAAAGCTGTGCGGTACCTAATATTGTCTTTTCAGATAAGTATAAGAAATGAGATGATACCTAGTATTTTGTGTTCCTACAACCATATTTACATATGTTGAAAGTTTTAAATTCCATTATATTTATTTCAAAGCAGAAGTGGATTGAACAACAGGCAATTGCTGCTTGTGTTGAAAAGTGTTGTAAACCCATGCAGTTGCAAATGCCACACCTTAATACATGTATGCAATTTTAGTCTGTATAATAATAGACTTTACCTATTTTAATATATAATACATTGTATGAATATATGTAGAAACTTACAGTAATCTTATTTCCAGACTTTTCTATCAGAGTTCCTTTGTAGTCTGTGGTGTAGGTCCAATCAAATGGTTTCACTACATCATTAATGTGTTCACAATCAGCCCTGTTAAAACGGGGAAAAAAACATATACGAAAAAAAAGACACGAAACAAAATAGTCTATAGGATGAGACTGTAGCATGACTTTGTGTGGTTATTGCCCCTGGGACAAGATGGCTACAAAAGAGATACTTTAAGTTCTACATAGTAGGAAAAAAATTATTATGAAACTCACCTTGCCTCCCTCCAAGCTTGAGAAACAGCAACTTTGAGAGGATCATGGTGAGCATCCACACACTTCAGTGCATCTAAAGCATTGAACTCTATCCCGTACCCATCTGAATGCACAATCCTTAATACATTGTCAGCAAAGATCATCTCAGGGACCTGAGGAAGCTCTAACTGGGACTCAAACCTACAATATTGGATATATCAATCTATTAACATTTCCTTATTAGATAATCTATAAAAATTAAATATATTCAACAGTAATGCCACAAATGTGATCATTTTCCTGTGAATATAATAAAATGGAACAATTTTAGGTTAAGAATGACCAAAAAAAACTAATTGTACATGTACTAGATAAAAAAAATATCCAAGTGAATTATGTGACCTTAAAATGATTTTTTTGGTCAAAGTACATTTAAAAAGATGCATTGATTACTAATGTTTTACAATATGACATGTTAACAATGTAAAAATAAACATCATCTACATTAGGGATGCGCGATTTTATCGGTATACCGGTATATCGTGATTTTTTATTGCGTGATACGTATCGTGATATGGAGACTAAAATACCGGTATTTGGTACATAATTATAAATTCCATAAATTATTTATTTATTTCTTCGAACTATTAAATGAAATTTACAGGAAGTCTAAAAAATGTTGAAAAAAATAAACTACGGCATCCAAACATGCTTTATATTATTTAAATAAAAATGGGGAAAAAGTGAAGTTATGTTTTTACAGCGTATTTGTAAGAAAAATTATAGAAATTCATTTGAAATTGTAGTAAAAATTCCGTGTAGAAATATCATGATATTATTGGGATATTTTGGAGGGGAAATCCTGATATATCACGATACGAAATTTTTGGCGATACCCATCCCTAATCTACATTCAATTTTCAAATTTAAGCTGCAATAGCAAAATGTGACAATATATTTTGCACCCTCACCATGCTCAGACAGGATTTAGCTAGGAAAATATGCAGACTTGATGAAGTTTTCAAAAGAATATTAAGAATATACAAACAGGGACAAACAAAACTGATACATATACATTATTATAACAGTAACTTGATCCGAAGAGTCGTATCACGTCAAGTTGACAGGCGCGGATAATCAGATCAAACGAGACGCGAAGCGTCGAGTTTGATCTGATGATCCGCGCCTGTCAACGAGACGTGATACGGCTCTTCGGATCAAGTTACTGTTATAATGATAAATTTATTATATACCCCCCTTACAACTAGCAAAATATAGTTTTAAAAAAACTTTTGAGATCAATGATATAAGATTTTTTCCATTGAACAAAGCATATTGTCAAGGAACTTTTTGATGCACATGAAAAATAACGTCATGTTTCTGTGTACTACGTCATCAATTTCAGAGAGGGGTGATATGGATTCAGAAAACCACAGTGTGGTGATCCGGAAAGTCGGATCACGCCGTCACGTGATTGTACGAAATCTACAGTAAAATTGAGTGATACACACTTGGGTATATAATAAAAATGCATTATCTTTTGCAACAGCTCCATTTTTACAAGGGATCTGCATGTGTTACCTTTCTCTGGCTGGGCCCTCTGAATTCAGTATGTGACTTTTTACTGATACAATGTTCCATGGTCCATACTGAAACTTTTCTGTGAAGGCTCGGGCTTTAGTAGCAACATCTTCTTTTTCTGACATTGTCAGAAATGCTCAAACTGTCAAAATATATGAAATCATTTATAAATTGTTGTTCAATGCTCTGCTAATCTGGACAGTATACTTGATGCTGTCCGACTACCTCAGCACTTTTAAACAAGTTGGAACCACTCTCCAAATCATATGTAATATAGCCTGTTTTGGTTGTAATTTCACAACAGGGATATAAATCTAGTGCAATAAAGGAGAAAATAATTAAATTTCTAGCTAAACATGATGTAAATCTGCATAAATATACAGTAGACGTACTTTTTCCATATGGAATTAATTTCTGCTATGTATGCAATCACAATTTTTCCATAGAAATTTATCAGCATATATACTTAAAATTCATTGAGGACATCAGCATGCAGGGTTCCACACTAACGTTAGTCTGTTAGTCAGACTAATACATTTTCATTCGGATTAATAAAATCTGTTGCTAATTAGTCCAAATGGACTAATAAAAATTTCTCGAAAACAATATAAGGTCCAATTCTCGACAACTTTTACTGGAAAACCCGGCATGTATTTTTAGCTTTCTAACTTCTTTTGTGGGTAGTTAGCTAATTCCGAGTCAGTTCAACGCTTAATTTTACAACTAATTGATATGACGTTAAACATTTTAGCGATCATAATTTAGTTATCTGTGGAATAAAACACTTCACGCAAATGCTTTGTGTATTTCAAAAAAATACATTGTCATGTTTATTTTTTAAATTAATCGTTACAAAACATTGAATATGTTTCCCTTTTTGAGGGACTCATTAAATCAAGTGTGGACTAGTAAAAGTAAAGAAGCACTAGCCCGGCTGGACTATTTAAAGCCTAAAAATGTTAGTGTCGAACCCTGGCATGAATCTCACATAATAAAGAAAATTCCGCTAAATTTTCTACCCGCGGATTGAACAGAAATTGTGATTCCATGGAATTATGACCAGGTGGAAAAAAAACAGGCAGTTGATTCGATAATAAATTTTTTAACCCATAGTGTTATTATTATACTACATCATGTACATTGGTTAAAAAATTCATTACCAAAACAAGTGCCCGTAGGAAAAAGATACCCTTAAAGTACATTGAAGATGTTAAAGGCAATCGCTTTTAGCAATGAACTTTTTTCTATGAGTTACTATAACCCTACAGTTTGCAAGATTGATCTCCAAGAAGTTTTGGATCTTCTGTGGGATCCTAGTCCTAAACATTAGGGATACAGAAAAAAAACTTGTTTATAACAATTTGTTGCTTTTTACTTTTTTTATCACAGATTTACAATGCTTCAAGCTAAATATTGCTATTTATTTTTTGCACTGTAATATTATATATGGATTATTATAAGTTATAACCCATACAGACCATGTACTAGCTGTTATATCCCATTTGGGCAAGTGACCTGATTGATGCATGCTTTCACAGGTACATGTACTAGGATCTTGGTTTATAAAAAAAACTTATACCTATTGAAGATGTAAAAAAAAAGTATTCAATAGGTACACATATTTATATATAAACCAAGACCAGTATCTCTGCATGCTTTCTGTGTTATTTCAGGGACCTATATACTAATATATAGTATATAGGTCCCTGGTTATTTCAAATTGGGGACTCTCCTGAAACAATTTACCAAATGTTTTAAAAATGAATACCTCAAATCCCAAGAAAGCTTTAGATGATTCAGCAAAATATTACTTTCATAGCCGTACCAGGATGCCAAATCCAATCAGAATTTTTCATGGGAAAAAAAAGATGCTTTCTTTCAAAATTGAAAATACAATCTTACATTGAGAATTTTTGGAACATCGAGCCCGATATTTCAATTATTAAAAGACAAAGGTCAGACGATATGTTCCTCAGATATCTGTTTTGTATTACTTCGTAATATACAAAAACATGTTTAATATGTTGACGGTGCGACCGTTGGGGCGAGCGCAGTGTTCACTTCATTATTATGATCCGCCTCTTCAAACCGCACGAGACATTTGGAACGTCTAGACTGTGACGTCACATGACGTCGTATGTTAGCTGCATTTCCATAAACAAAGTTTAAAAAGTGCAAATATTTTAAAAAAGAACGTTTAATCTACTATCTGCATGCAATATCCATTAAATTAAGGTGAGTTTATTTTGTGTGAATTTTTAGTTGTTGTCACCGCGTGAACGAAGTTAGCAGCGAGAACAAGAAGCGATGCATTGTGGGTCAGAATTACTGCGGAACAAAATTCTGGCTTCGGGGCCACCAACATATAAAAATCTCAGCTCAAATCTCAACCTCAAATCTTAATTTTCTGCCTCACCTGAGATTTTCCTATAACACCGTGCCACCAACATTTCTGAGATTCAACTCACGTAAGCTGAGATTTGAGAAAAATCTTAGACTTATTCTCGTTGTTATATGCGACCTTTTTTCCTATCTTGCACGGGATGTTTTGAATCAATTATTGAATTTACCTTTCAGTTAGTTGTTTATGCAATATTTTGGTGTATAATGGCGAAAATAAACATTCTCAACTTCCTTCGTCTTTTATTTGCTGTTTCGAGTCATTCAACGGAAAGGATTCCATTACGACCTTTGCGACCATAAATGTTCACCGAATCCCCGTATAAAAATCCCTACAGAAGAATAAAACAAAACCATATTCAAACTTTGCAGTCTTGGCTCGTCTGTCGACATAAAAACACAAAAACATACACCGAGGCGTCATTTCCGCCATTGTGACGTTACGTGTAGAAAGATTACGAAAAGTAGGTAGGCGGATCAAAACTATATTTCGCAGACCGATTTTTCTTTCTTTTGTTTTAAAATGTCAGATATATAAATTTTCTTCTAATTCTCCGTGGAAAAGAAAAATATTTCAGTTATAGGGACTTTTTTTTACATAGAATAAACCTGAGTGATTTTTTCCCCTAGCAGATCCAAAATTAAAAGAAAAAGTCGACAAATAGCTACATTCTCATACATGTATGCTGAAATAAATTTCTTGAGTGTTTCGTAATATTGGGCGTAAGTATGATAAGATGGACAGCGAACATATCCAGGAGCGGGTAACGTTTTACAGGATCGTTTATCAAGGAAATCTGAGAGGAATTTTTAATTGTCAGGAATTTCAGGATATCACCCCCTGTGAGAAAATGTTACGGAAAGTCTTTGTATTTCTTTTTAAATATATGTAACAATAAGCAACGAATATAGCACCACTTGACCAATATTCATCGTTACACTGGAAACCCAAGTCAATCTCGCATACGCTCCTCAAGTGATCAGAAATTGATTAATCCCTAATATCAGATCGTAAATAAACGTTTCACTGCGTAATGATGTAATATTTTTAACGCAACAACTACGGTCCATACTTTTTTTTTTTTAATTTAAAATGTTACTTGTACAAAAAAATAGTTTGTATAAAAAAATTCCATTCGGCCAAGTGCAGTTGAATATATGCAGTTTTTGTTGAGATTTATACATTTACCTCAGAATGGCCATAAGTCAAGTTTATTCTTATAAATAATATCAACAGTCAAGAATATAAGTTTACGCACAATGCATTGTGAGTATATAAAGTCGATCCCAATTCTCAATTAAGAATTTTATAGGTTTATTTAAGAACCAAATTAGACAGACTGCTATCATCAGTGAAATAAATGGTGATTTATATGTTATTTCGAAAGAACAAAATATTTGTTCATGGAATTTTAGACAGATTTCTTTTAATATCTGCATATAATTTACACGGATAAGTATATTGTACGTCAAGTAGTAATAGTAAAAACTACCGGAGGAAAAAAACAACAAAAAAAAAAAAAAAGAAGGGGCTGGGTAGGTTTAATTTGACATCTTATCTAGTCATATTTCCTTTTCCGATATACATGGATATTCCAAATTACATACACGTAATAAATTTGCCATGGCACAAATAGCACTCCAAAATATGCATTTAATTATTAATTAAATTAATTTCTGAATGAATGAAGATATACATGTTCATGTTATGTATAAAGTGTCACTAGAATATTCCTGTAAATTTATTTTTTTCTTTTTTCTTTATTATCATTATTATTTTTTTCTTTTAGTAAAGTTTAAAGTGCTTAATTCCATGCGTGGAAAATATTATAATAAGAATATTTACATGTGCGTAATTAAGACACCCCCCCCCCTCTCCTCACAGGATGATCAAGTTTTGGGAGAAATTAACATTCTTTCTGTGCTTGTATGTTAACTTCGTGAATTCATGGATAAAATGTGCACTGTCATAACATATGCGATCATTTTACCATAAAATAATTCTGTGAGATTGTGTTTGAGACTGGTATACATCAATCTCAAGATTTTCCGAGAAATCGCAGATTTTTTTCTCAGCTGAGTCGGAAAAAACGTTGGTGGCACGCATGTTTGTAAAAAATCTCAGATTTGAGAAAAATCTAAGATTTCAGAAAAAACTCAAAAGATAAGTCCGAGTTTGAGAAAATATTAATTTGGTGGCACAGTTTGGTGAGAAAAACTCAAATTTTCTGAGAAATCTCAGATTTGAGAAAATCTCAGCGTTGGTGGCCCCGAAGCCTGGCTTCGGGGCCACCAACGCTGAGATTTTCTCAAATCTGAGATTTCTCAAAAAATTTGAGTTTTTCTCACCAAACTGTGCCACCAAATAAATATTTTCTCAAACTCAGACTTATCTTTTGAGTTTTTTCTCAAATCTGAGATTTTTCTCAAATCTGAGATTTTTTTCAAACATGCGTGCCACCAACGTTTTTTCCGACTCAGCTGAGAAAAAAATCTGAGATTTGTCAGAAAATCTTGAGATTGGAACATAGTAACCTCAAATAAATTCTCACGTGAAATCACTCACCAAAATGGCAGTCAGACGACATTTGCAGCGCCGACGTCGCCGTCGAAATTCCATTTTAAGAAGAATGAACGACCGTTCTAATCCACTGGAAACTCTTAATGAAGCTGAGGTATTTGAAAGGTACCGGTTTGTCCCAGAAACAATTATGTTTATCGTTGGTCTTATTCAAGACCAACTGCTTTATGACAGCCAGCGGAACAACCCCCTCACACCCTTGTACCAGGTTTTGGTTGCCCTCCGGTATTTTGCAACGGGGTCATTTTACATCACTCTTGGGGACACTTTGTCTGTATCCAAGAGTACGGCAGGGAGAGCGGTGCGCAGGGTGACAGACCTTCTATGCACACAGGTCAGACAATTCGTTCGACTTCCTGACAGAAATGAATCTATCTGCATTAAATCTGCCTTCCACAAAATTGCAGGTAAAAAAATACACACAAGCGTCTGCACATCTTGTTGTTTTCATTTGACCTTAACCCAGTCGTAAAAAAACGAATCCTGAACCCGATTTCATAATATACACTACATATATATAAAACGCATACATGTATTTTAGAAATCTTTCCACATAGAATTCATTCAATTAATCCTATGTTAGTATATATAATATACAATATATATATTTTCATCCATATGACACATACAAACGAAATATTTTAAGAAAATATTGTTGAGAAAATAGGTTGGTGGATCAAACAACTGCATGCGGTCCATCATTATGTCAAATTTTTCTAGGATCCTTACTTTTGAGGCAATTTATTCTTTTCACCGTAATAAGTAATTGTATAAATGTTTTTTTCAAACATTAGCATCAAATGTCTATTACAATTAGCCCCCCCCCCCCTTCCCCCTCTTTACAAAAAAAAAAAGGGATAGAAATGTTCATATTTTTGATAAAAATTGAATTCTATTTTAGGATTCCCAAGTATTGTTGGATGCGTGGATGGAACCATGATAAAAATTATTGCTCCAGCTGAAAATGAATCTGATTATCTATGCCGTAAAGGTTACTATGCTCTTAATATACAGGTACATGTACTATATATATATATATATATATTATCATTGTCCACACAAGCCAAGTCTGACATAATATATACACACAGTTATTATAAAACTGATACACCATAGAATGCGTGGAGGGAACGGGGGGCACCCTCAACTTTTTTCTGAGCATAGTCTCTTATTGTTGTAATAAATTTTCATTTATATGCTGGACTGGTCCCCCTTCCCTCAACCCCCCCCCCCCCTTCAACCTTTATTTGCTGTAAGTTTGAACACTGGCAAATTCCAGCATTTAAAAAATATACATACCAAGTGAAGCCCCCCCCCCTTTCCAATAGAATTTTCGAGTTTGAAAAGGGTTTTTTTTAGCTGTCTGATTTTTTTTGTGGTTTAGTCACCCCCCCCCCTTTTGAAACTGTAGCTATGGGTCATACAACAAGTCCAGTGCAAGTCAATCATAAATTTATGCAACTTTATCGGTTTGAAATATTTTCATTCATTACATTAATTTAATTTTTCAGATGACATGTGATCCACAATTTAGAGTCCTTGATGTTGTAGCAAGGTGGCCTGGGAGTGTCCATGATGCTCGAATCTTTAGGGAATCGAGCTTGTGCAAAATGATGGAAGAAGGCATGTGAATACATTACAGTCTATAATGTTAAATTTACAGTCTATTTACATGTTGATAGAATTAACATATGCCATATTTTTTTTAAACCTTTGTGTATTGGATACATGCAATTACTACAATTACTTCAAAAATTAAAAACTCACAATTTCAACATAATGTACAAATTTAAAACAGTTCATGAATTATTTAATTGTAATGCAATTTAGGACAGCTATCAGGGATTCTCCTTGGGGATTCAGGATACGGCCTAAAACCGTATCTCATGACCCCTTACATGGCAGAGGATGCCCCTGGGAATAGGCGATTCAACACAGCACATTGCAGAACAAGGTTACTCTTTAGATTTGTCTCTTCTATAGAGCAACAGACTTTACAATTAACCATTTCAATACTAGAAATTTCAAGTTTCAGGTCAGAAAACCATGATACATGAATATTATACCTTCAATTATTTTCATTGTCAGGGTTATCATAGAGCAGACCTTCGGCATTCTTAAAAAAAGATTTTATGCCCTCCACTGTGGCCTTAGAACCAAGCCGGAGAGAGCTTGCAGAATTGTAACAGCATGTACCATCCTTCATAACATCGGCATTGAGCGAAGGGATATTCTTCAAGATGCCGATGTTATGAATGATGTGTGTGCCATGGCTGATGACCTTCAAGTGCAAGATGATGCTGTTGGACGCACTGTGAGGGACCATATCAGAGACACTTACTTCTTATGAAGATGGTAAATCTATTTTCTTAACATTACTTTATCACATTTGAATTTCTAAAGGTATATGGGAATTTTAATGCTACAGGTAAAATACAACAACAGCCAGATTCTGATTTTGATGAGAATATTTAATTGAGTTAATGGTTTAAAAGCTACATCTAACAATCTTTAATACATGTATATACATCATACATTTACATGAGGATCTAATAAGCACAAGTGCTTAAGAACACTTACAAATGTTGAACAAGGAGTCCATGGTTCACAACACTCACCCGAGTCACTATGGCCCTACTGTTCTCTTTATGATACACTTTGATTGGCCATTGTGGTCCCATCCTACTCTTGGGGAGCATGATTTGAAACTACATAATTATATATTAAAGATTCACACAAGTTTCAACCCTTCTGGTCCAGAAGTTCCTGAAAAATTTCTAAATTTTTTTTTCAGTATTTCAATTCTAAACTTTGATCACCTTTGGCGACCCCACCCAACCCCAGAGGGTTATGATTTGATTAAATTTGAATCTACACTACCTTAAGATGTTTCCAAAAAATTTCATCTTTACTGGCCCAGTGGTTCCTGAAATGAAGACATTGAATTTTCACTAGTTCTTTAATAATTATCTCCCCTTCAGCCAATGGTTCTTGAGAAGAAATTGAAAATATGAAAAGTTTACTGATGGACAGACAGACAGACAGATGCCAGACAAAATGTGATCAGAAAAACTGACTTGGGCCTTTGGCTCAGGTGAGCTAACATGTAAGGACATAAAAAGAGGAGAATGACAATTCATTAATTTTGTGATAGAGTTAAAACAAGTAAACTATTGTTTTGTCAAAGTATGTAAACGCACATCTGCATGTCATAATGGTAACAGATTAAAACATCTTTGATAAAGATAGTGATAACAATTCTAAGCATTTTTAACCTTCAGCAGGTAGGGATATAAAGTACATTTACAAACCTTGATATCCCTAGTCCCCTTGTATTACTTTTTTTTATTGATAGTTTCTGTTGAGCAGACTCTTTTTATTAAGTACAACCATTTCTTTCTGATAATCATTACCTTTGGAAGTCAATAAAAAAATCTCTGAATACTCAAATTAGACCCCATTTGGAAAGACTTTAAAACATATCAACTCCATTGCATTATCTACCACTACTTTACTATGTGACACATTGTAGACAAGAAACAGCTAATGAAAATGACGAGGACTTGATCTTGTTTCCCTTTTAGGAATGAAGCTTATTTTAACCTATCTTATATGATATAACATAACTTAGGGCAGATTTTTAAAGAATTTCCCTATATATTTCAATGTAAAAATTGGATTCCCTATTATGGCCCTGCCCTACCCCTGGGGGTCATGATTTTTATAATTTAGAATCTACACTATCCCAGGATGCTTCCACACAAGTTTCAGCTTTTTTGGCCCAGTGGCTCCTGAGAAGATTTTTTAATGACCCCATCCTATTTTTGTCTTTTCTTGATTATCTCCCCTTGTAAAGGGACTTGGCCCTTTATTTTAACAATTTAAACTCCTCTTCACTTAAGGATACTTTGTACCAAGTTTGGTTAAAATTGGCCTGGTGGTTCTTGAGAAGAAGTTGAAAACATGAAAAGTTTACAGACGGACGGAGGGACAGACGGACGACGTACAATCGGTGATCAGAAAAGCTAACTTGAGCTTTCAGCTCATGTGAGCTAAAAAGCGTAAACTGCCCCAAGTTATGTTATTTCATATAACATAGGTTAAAATAAGCTTCATTCCTTATATTTTAATTTCAGTGTAGACAATAAGACAATTTTTCCTCCAAAAATGGCTTCAAATTGAGCATATTTTAAAAGTAACTTTAAGTGGAGTAATACGTTTTTGATGTAACTCATTGTGACATAGGCAACTTATGTTATACGATATAAATGAAATCTATTATCCAACCAAATGACATGTTACAACTAAAATTAAATTATTCACCTATAGATGCTATATGCCAATTTTTTTAAAAATTGGTTCTGCAGTTCTTAAGAAGAAGCTTAAAATGATCAAATGTTGACTGATGACGCATGATGACAGACAAAAACATAAAGCAACTAGAAATATGTCCATAGGACATGAATGCTCAGCCGAGGGTATATTAGTAATGCAACATGTAAATTTGTATTAATGTATGAAATTTAATGAGAATATCTTGAATAGTTTCTTTAAAATTGAAATTGAAATCTAAAAAGTTGGATATAGATGATAAATTCTCACCAAATTATGTATAAGTGCATAAACTTACATAAATATATCTTAAATGGTTTCTTTAAAATTATGCAGAATGCAAATCTAAGAAAAGTGAGGTCAAGGTCACAGGAAGGTTCAAGGTCAAATGTTTTAGATGCAGTTGAATACTTATCACAAATACATATCAGCATATTTAGGTTTGATAAAAATATTGAATGGTATCTTGAAAACTGAGGTAAACATTAATTTAAGAAAAGTGAGGTCAAGGTCAAAGGAAAGGTAAAGGTAAATAAATATTGATGCTGTTGAATAGCTCTCATCAGTATGTATCAGCATATTAAGTTTGACAAAAAAATCTTGGATAGTTTCTTTGCAACTGAGCTTTGAACAGAGCTAAATGCAAAGCGTGACGAAAAGACAGACGGAAGGACAGAAGACGGACATGACAAACACTATATGCCCCGGCCATATTCATGGCGGGGCATAAAAAGGCTTCTGAGTAACTTGGGTGACCTAAAAATTTTATATGGTAACTACAATATTTCATCATGCAGCACCAGAAATGCATTTATATCCCTACACTACCTGATTAATCATTAACAAACTTTTAAATTTCATTACTTTTTAACATTTGAGCTACAACCTCTGGATTTGAATTAACCAATATTTGAAATTTTAAATCATAATAAGATTTCTGTGATTGGATAAGCTCTCTTTCATCTTTGATCTTCTTGATTTCTTCTTGTAATTTATCATTTTCAAGACAGAGGTTCCTTTCTTCCAAATCCTGAATTGTCATTCTCCTCTTTGATGACTTACCAGAATCTGTTAAAACAAGAAAACTACTGAAAATGATAGAATTCTTTCTCTTTTTAATCTGAACATACAGGACCTTGAGGTCTCAAATTCACATCTTATCACTCCAGTTTTAAATATAATTGCTCAAGTTCACAAAAAGATAGAAATAGGTCACCTTAGTGACTCAGTTGACTAAATAATTTACAATAGCAATTTTATTGTTCCAAATCAACAGCAACTATTTCTCAAGGGACAATAAACTTGCTTTTGTTCTCTTTGTCAGTAAATAGGTGTAAACTATTCAACATGAGATGACCAATGGCACTATGTAAGAAAGATTCTATGGAAGTCAACTGACTTGAAACTTAACTTGATTTTAAGTCATCAATATGAAGAAATAAATCATAAATCAGCTTTTTACCTTTTGCATAGCATTAAATAATCCAGAAAACTAAATATGACAGAATGACAACAGAAATGGGTTTTGTTATATTTTTAAAAATTGTGTCCTATATAATTCTATACTAAAAAAAAGTCTAACATCTCCTGTGTTTTACTGAGCGGGCATAAGAAATCGATGTTTAACCGCAGAGTGAGATGTTTGACCTGTCGATGAGATGTTGAACCTCTGACGTCACAGAGAGGGCAGGGTCAGCTATATCTTATTTGCAATTGTTGGAGTTCGACAGAACTGCAGTGCGAGTAAACGAAATTTACATCATGATATTTCAAAATAACAAGAGGCCCATGGGTCACATCACTCACCTGTGCACTGTGGCTAGAAAATAGCTAAAATCAGTTCAGCATTGAAAAGGTTAAGTGGTCATGACCTACCCCTAAAAGGGGGGGGGGGGGTATGATTTGAAACAAACTTGAGCTGAATCTACACTAACTATGGATGCTTATATATTTCTTTGACTAACTGTGGCTTTTTTCCTATCCGTTTGAATTTTCATCATTGTGCCACCCTAGCCCCGGGGTCAGGATTTGAACAAACTTGAATTGACCTATCTGAGGGTGATTCGACATGAGTTTCATCTTTCCTGGCCCAGTGGTTCTTGAGAAGAAGATTTTTCAAAGATGCCATTAATTTTTCACTAATTTGTAATCATCTCCCTTTGGAAGAGGGTGTGGCCCTTCATTTAAACAAACTTGAATCCCCTTCACCCACGGATACTTTGTGGCATGTTTGGATGAAACTGGTCCAGTGTTTCTTGGGAAGAAGTTGAAAATGTAAAGTGTTTACAGACAGACAGACGGACGCTGGACAAAATGTAAACAGAAAAGCTCACTTGAGCCTTCAGCTCAGGTGAGCTAAAAAGTAAAAGGTACAACATAACATTTACTGACTGTGTTCTCAGGCAAAATGGGTTTTGTTGAATGTGCAGTAGTCCGAATTTTCTCTTCGCCCAGGCGTTGTCGTTAGAGCTCGCTATAATTATAATTACTTTGTGATTTCTAAACTAGTTTCCAATTGTCTTAAAAATCAAAACGCTATTTTTTATGGTGGCAATTTAAAGTTATTTCCAAAAGGATTATAAAGGCAACACCGTCCTCTGGTATCTTGCACAAATGCCTGGTAAGATACCTCAATTTTTTGTGGGTACACATGTTAAAGTAGCAATACTTCAATAAGGACAGACGATAAGTTCCTAAATAATATATAATTTTTTCAAGATTTTAAACAGTTCTTTGTGTAGTTATTTACTAATGCTATATAGAGCAATTTTGATTAAAATAATAATAACACAAGACGGCTACTTCGAATCAATCTAACATGCAACTGCATGCCACAAGCAATTCTTTACTGAATAAAAGTTTACTCATTAGTATACTAAAAACACTAAGGTTCATCGATACTCTGATAAGAGAGATAACTCTTAATGATATAAATGTAAATTCCTTCATAATCTTGTCAAGTTGAAGTGTTTTTTTTTTTTTTTTTTTTTTTTTTTTTTTTTTTTTTTTTTTTTTTTG